CATTCGCCAATGGCTAATAAACGCTTAGATATACCAATACTTATATGTACCAAAATACAGTAAACACACATCAAGAGACGAATGTAAAAGAGAGCAAAATCTACAGTAAAACTCACACAAAATAACCATAGATTCAAGGTGAAAAATTATTCTCCATTTCTATATGCATGGAGAATGTTACTAAATAGATTCGTATGGCCAGCTAGATTGGGAAATACATAGTATATGTGTGTAATTCGGAGGGAGTCTCAGTGCCAGCCAAAAACAATGTGGGCCACCAGCAGATAGACGGTCATCAGGGCGATCTGTCCCAGCATCATCGGAAACACAGTCCGCAGGTATCGGGTGAAGGAAAGCTTATAGCCGTGCTGCTCCGCGATTCCGGCTGCAATGACATTGGCCGAAGCGCCGTATAGAGTTCCGTTTCCGCCCATGGACGCTCCGAGGGTCAGGGCCCAAACCAGCGGCTGGAGGGGCAGGCCCAGCGACGGCTTGGCGACCAGCGAGGTCACCAGCTTCACCATCATTGCGGTCACCGGAATACTGTCTAATATTGCAGAGGCGAAAGCGGACATCCAGAGGATCATAAAGATGCCCATGGCCAGGCGGTGATTCTTGCCCACCGACAGGATCACGTGCTCGGTGAAGTCACCGATGCTGGCGAAGATTCCCAGCCGCTCCACGCACTCCATCATCACAAACATGGCGGCAAAGAAGAGCAACGTCGTCCACTCGATGCGGTGCATCAAGTGCTCCATGTCATCCCGATTTAAGATTATCAGCAGTAGAATTACACCCAGTAGAGCCACCCATCCAAGGGGAAGGGTCCTCCAGTGCGGCACCGATTGGATGAAGAAGCAAATGATCACAAAGACCAAAGCTCCAGCGGATTGGAGCAGCAATGTCTTATTCTTAATGGGATACTGAAAAAGAAGACTGGTTACTTTTGAAGTTAGTGACTTCCAATCCATCCAAACCTTCTGCTTCAGTTCATCCAAAGTGTTAGTATAGACCTCCGAGGATCCTACACCTTTTTGCATTCTTCGGAGAGTCCTCTTGAGCTGCTTCACTTTGCCTTGCAAAGTACCTCTGACCAGTTGGGCATCCTTGGAACAGGAAGCCACTGCATTGAGAGCCCTCTGCCAGACCTTGATCTCCCTTCGCAGTTCGCTCATCTCCTTGGGCTCGTTGCGACGAAGTGCATCAATATTATGGTAGAAAAGTCGTAGATAGACACAACTTTGGATAACGGCCAGTAGGACACCCGGGAAGGTGTGTGCCACAAAGGTCAGAAAAGTGACATCCTGAAACGGAGCTTTAAGTATTTTAAAACAAAAATAAAGTTTTTAAGCTTACGTTTTCCACTATGTAGTGATTGGTGCTGACTATAATGCTAATGGGATCTCCAATGGGCGTTAGAGCTCCTCCGATATTGGCATGGACTATAATGCCCATTACCACGGGCAAGGGATCTAGCTGCATGACTTCGCACAATCGGATAGCCACTGGGGTGAGGAGCAGCACGGTGGTCATGTTATCCAGCACACTGGACACCACACAGGTGACCAAGCAGAGACTGTAGATCATGGGCCAGATCTTGCCACCAGATATCTCAAAACAAAACACCGCCAGATAGTCAAAGACTCCAGTCTCTGTTAGAATCAGAATAAGTAGCATCATGCAGAACAGCAGGGTAAGGAGCTCCATGTCCATCCACTGGATAATCTCATCCATATTGGGACGATCTGGATAAGAAAATCGTATTATTATTTATACAGAATATTTAAATTATTTAAGATATTTTCAATACCATTAAAACATGCCAGTGCTGTCACCGACAAAATGGAACATATCATGGCCACAAAGGGTCTCTCAAAGAGTTCCCAAACCAGCAGGGCATAGAAGATCAGCAGGATCAATCCGGCTAGTATGCTTCCTATTCTGGCGTTCACAATCAAAGGGTTGTAGTTCAGGGTAATGGCCAAGTCCGTCTCCACATCGCTGAAGATATGCAAACGAAACTCGCTGTCCTTTGAGGCCAAAAGTTCTTTGAGTTCCTGCGTCATCTGATAGGTGCGATTGCTGGCCACGGAAGGAGCTCGTATTAGCTCCTCCTCAGAAAGCAAAGGCAGTCGCCAAGCTGGCAGAATGTCCTAAAAAAGTTTTAAATTTATCAAGATTTAAAAAAAAACCTTACTAAACGACTTTTAATTGCGTTTAGCGATTTTTGTTTACCTGCAAACAAAATTCTACAAAAAACCACAATTACGTAATACCCACCTGAAATACTTTGCTCCGATTCTCGCCAATGTAAGCCGACACCTGGGGCTGCACTGTCAGAAACCCATAGCTCAAAGTCTCATTTTCAGTGGCATCCAAAACAGATTGTTCTCTAAAAGCGCCATAAACCTTCAAACGAAAGTCACCAGTTGGTTTTTGCAGCAAATGAAATACTGAAAAGTTAACATAATTTTAAAACAAAAACTACACTTTAATTCAAGGTAAACTTACCCTTTCCCTCCTCACCCTGAGGCACATCTATTGTCTTCTCCAGCAGGTGTTTCTCCCCCACCGTGATTAGAACGACAGCAGCCAGTAGCCAGAATACGAGTAAGCCACCTCTCTTCCAGAGCTTGTCCCGCTGACGCTGCTCTTTGGACCGTTTCGACTTGTGATGGATTCTGCGAGCCTGGGACTTGGCGTTTCCAGGACCATTGGCTGTTTCGTGGTCGGAATGGGTGGTGGCCTCGTCATCGGTAACATTGTCATCCCCGGCCTTGGTCTTAATGTCGAGAAAATCGGAACCCGCATAGCTGGAGCCAGGCTCGTCGTTCAGGCGACTGGCATTCCTCCTGTCCTCCTCGTCATCGTAGCCATCTGGATCGTCGTTGTCATCATCACTCACTCCGACGGAGGAACCTACAGAACGTTGTCGGTGGTGTTTGAATAAATAATGTTTGAACGAGGATTAGCCATGTGACATGGCCTCGGTAATGGACTGACCTTTGTCTGACTATTTGACAGTTTATTGATTTGACTTTAAGGGATTTTGTACGTGCACTCGAGGGAAACCAAATTAAAAATAAAACTGATGGTTCAGACTTTGTTTTGTAATCTTTTGGGTCAAAGGACTTAATTAAATGTAATAATTTACCATGAATACGTTCATTCTCCATTTGAAAACTGGCCATGCTGGGATCATGACGAATCTCGGCGGGCAGGGCCCTCCACACCTGCAGAGACTGCTCGGTGACCTGGACGGCAGCCACCTGGTTGTGGTGGCACACTCCGCCCCTTGGACTTCTGGGACTACGCCGCTGCAGCTCGATGCTTGTAACAGCCTTATCGCGACCAGGACTATCGGGTCGTAGACTACGAAAGGTCTCCCGCAGACCCATGGTGCCCGGAATTCGATGGACGTGGGAGGATTTGCGTTTCTGGATGTGAAAATATTCTACAGGCTGCGAACGCGAGGAGCAGTAGCTGGCATCTTTGCCGCACACGAGGCACGATGCGACTGAATGGAATCTTCAGCCAGCGAATATAAATCCGAGAGTCGGCAGCGAAGCAGCTGCGGGGTTTCGGTTTTGGTTTCCATTCCATTCAGTCGACATCGTCGGCACTTTCAATATTGAAAGTGAAATCGCCCTCAGCTCACCTCCCCACTAACGGCTTTCAACAATGGAGGCCTTGTTGTCGCCGCTTTCCAGGATGACGCAGGCGCCATACAGCTCTTGTGGATTTTCTTGTTTTGCTCGCCACATTCGCTGCCCCACAAAGGCTGATGGTCACCGAGGAGGTAGTGGGGATGAGGGGCACCCATCAACAAGTTTGCATTTTTGCACTCCCACGCTAGCGGACACTCTGCCAGATTATTACTTATTCAAATCACTTCACTGGCACTATTATTTTCTGCTCCAGTGCGTTTGGATGCACTCAATTGCTCATACGCCGTGTGGCCATTCTAAAAAAAAATCCAAAAAAATATTAAAGCTTTTGTTAATGGGTTACACAATGGGTTGACTTGTTCACAGAACTAATTAAATTATATACAATTTATTTATAAATTCAAATGTATTTTTAAAAATATGTATTACAATAATTCATAGCATACTTTTTGGAGCAGAATAAATAATTAAAGATATAGATCCTTATATTAAAAATACATATTAAAGGTATTATAGAAAAACTGACTGAACACTTTATCGAGTTTTATTTTTTTTATATTTTGGCTTATATTTTTCCAATACAAAGGTAATGCACTATCGAGTGTATTTCCGAGTATTTACAATGGGAATTTTAACCCATATTTTTATGAGTTTTGTTTTCCATATTATTTATGGAAACCCTAGTAATAATATTAAAAAATACATATTTCATCAAACAAATAAGAATCCCGAGAATCTTTTTTTAATCAGGTTAAAGCATAAAGTCCCTACAATTACGGACATTTTGAATAATCCTCAAATTAAGTTATATTAGGTGGTTAGGTGGATAAAGCGGTCTTCCTGGCTTAAGAAATAATAAGAAACTATAGCATAAAAACCAATGGAACAAGAAAAATACATAGTCTATTTATTTTTATCTAAATAAAACAAAATTTACATGGCAACGGAACGGCTCTGATGGAAAAATACTATTTTTTTACTTGAAATTTATACCTTGAAGTCTAATAATGAAACTAAACTTTGAATGTATCTTTTTCACGCTCTAAAATAATAAAGGTAGTGAAACATTTACCTCGGGTTTACCTTTTAAACCTTATTATTTACATAAGAAACGTGCCAAAAACTGCTGTTTTGTAAGCTTGCCCAAACATAAAAGTAAAGTTATTTGCACACCTTTGACTGAATTTATTAAAAATTCAAGTGCACCATGTCAATATTTACACACATGAAAAAGATTAAGTAAACTAAATTATGCCATTAAGAAAACCTATAAAAGGCATATCCCTGTTCCCAATCTGAAACAAAATAACAACAGACTGCAAGGAGTGAAACATGAAATTGTCTCTAATCTGCATTTGTGGTATGAACCATAGCGAATAAAAGCGAATAAATTATATATATTTTTAACTAAATTCCATTCACAGTGAGTCTTGCGCTCATACAGATTGTAGGCGTCACAGGACAGTGCGATGATGGATCGATGGATAATACAAACCCTGGTGATAACACAGGACCCCTAGATCTCGGCGATGGCCCTGTAAATGAGTTCGATCCCGAATATGACAACCCCGATTGTGAGAACCCCGATTATCAGGACCCCCAATGTTACGATGACTCGTGGACCACAACCAAAAAACCAAAGAAAAAGAAGCGAACAACTACAACAAAACGACCCAAAAAGAAAACCACCAAACGAACCACAACCAAAAGAACCCGAGCGCCTAAAACTACTACAAGTGTTCCTGATACCACGGATTCGAGCCCCCCAGTAACAACTCCATCGTGTCCTGACGCAACTTCACAATTAACTACAGTTACCGATACATCCACCCAGTCGAGTACTGACACTACACCGCCCATATGTGCCGACTCTACGACTGTAGCACCGACAGACAGTCCAACCTGTAGGCCTCCGCCACCAACTTGCAATCCTCCTCCAACCAGTACAACTATTACACCCCCGCCTCCCACATGCAATCTTCCACCTTCAACGCCGCCACCTACATGCAATCCTCCGCCAACCACGACAACAAGTGCACCACCACCCCCAACCTGCAATCCTCCGGAAACCACTCCAAAGAACACTCCACCTCCTCCAACTTGCAATCCTCCTCCAACCACGCCGAAGATTACTCCAACCACGCCGAAGGTTACACCACCACCTCCAACTTGCGCTCCTCCCCCAACAACGCCGAAAGTTACACCACCGCCCCCGACATGCAATCCTCCGGAAACCACGCCCAGGATTACTCCACCACCTCCAACCACGCCGAATGTTACACCACCACCCCCGACTTGCAGTCCTCCGGAAACCACGCCAAAAGTAACACCACCTCCTCCAACTTGCAATCCTCCGCCAACCACCCCGAAGGTTACACCACCGCCCCCAACATGCAATCCTCCTGAAACCACGCCAAAGATTACTCCAACCACGCCGAAGGTTACACCACCACCTCCAACTTCCGCTCCTCCCCCAACAACGCCAAAAGTTACACCACCGCCCCCGACATGCAATCCTCCGGAAACCACGCCCAGGACTACTCCACCACCTCCAACCACGCCGAAGGTTACACCACCACCCCCAACTTGCAATCCTCCGGAAACCACGCCAAAAGTAACACCACCTCCTCCAACTTGCAATCCTCCGCCAACCACGCCAAAGGTTACACCACCGCCCCCAACATGCAATCCTCCTGAAACCACGCCAAAGATTACTCCAACCACGCCGAAGGTTACACCACCACCTCCAACTTCCGCTCCTCCCCCAACAACGCCAAAAGTTACACCACCGCCCCCGACATGCAATCCTCCGGAAACCACGCCCAGGATTACTCCACCACCTCCAAACACGCCGAAGGTTACACCACCACCCCCGACTTGCAGTCCTCCGGAAACCACGCCAAAAGTAACACCACCTCCTCCAACTTGCAATCCTCCGCCAACCACCCCGAAGGTTACACCACCGCCCCCAACATGCAATCCTCCTGAAACCACGCCAAAGATTACTCCAACCACGCCGAAGGTTACACCTCCACCTCCAACTTGCGCTCCTCCCCCAACAACGCCGAAAGTTACACCACCGCCCCCGACATGCAATCCTCCGGAAACCACGCCCAGGATTACTCCACCACCTCCAACCACGCCGAAGGTTACACCACCACCCCCAACTTGCAGTCCTCCGGAAACCACGCCAAAAGTAACACCACCTCCTCCAACTTGCAATCCTCCGCCAACCACGCCGAAGGTTACACCACCGCCCCCAACATGCAATCCTCCTGAAACCACGCCAAAGATTACTCCACCACCTCCAACCACGCCGAAGGTTACACCACCACCTCCAACTTGCGCTCCTCCCCCAACAACGCCGAAAGTTACACCACCGCCCCCGACATGCAATCCTCCGGAAACCACGCCAAAGGTTACTCCACCACCTCCAACCACGCCGAAGGTTACACCACCACCCCCGACTTGCAGTCCTCCGGAAACCACGCCAAAAGTAACACAACCTCCTCCAACTTGCAATCCTCCGCCAACCACGCCAAAGGTTACACCACCGCCCCCAACATGCAATCCTCCTGAAACCACGCCAAAGATTACTCCACCACCTCCAACCACGCCGAAGGTTACACCACCACCTCCAACTTGCGCTCCTCCCCCAACAACGCCGAAAGTTACACCACCGCCCCCGACATGCAATCCTCCGGAAACCACGCCAAAAGTAACACCACCTCCTCCAACTTGCAATCCTCCGCCAACCACGCCGAAGGTTACACCACCGCCCCCAACATGCAATCCTCCTGACACCACGCCAAAGATTACTCCAACCACGCCGAAGGTTACACCACCACCCCCGACTTGCAGTCCTCCGGAAACCACGCCAAAAGTAACACCACCTCCTCCAACTTGCAATCCTCCGCCAACCACGCCAAAGGTTACACCACCGCCCCCAACATGCAATCCTCCTGAAACCACGCCAAAGATTACTCCAACCACGCCGAAGGTTACACCACCACCCCCGACATGCAATCCTCCGGAAACCACTCCAAAAGTAACACCGTCTCCTCCAACTTGCAATCCTCCGCCAACCACCCCGAAGGCTACACCACCGCCCCCAACTTGCAATCCTCCGGAAACCACTTCAAAGATTACACTACCTCCAACCACGACAACAAGTGCACCACCGCCCCTAACATGCAATCCTCCTTCAACCACGACAAGTACTCCATCGTCCCCAACTTGCAATCCCACGATAACTACTCCAAGAATTACACCTCCAACAACAACTCCAACAACTACTCCAAGAACCACTCCAACAACACCAACCACTCCTCAACCTACGGTTCCAACTCACCGTCCTTGTCCGTGTCAGCCAAGCCCCTCAAACCCAAATCCTCCACCTTGGTGGTATCCATTCCCCATTTATCCGAATCCTTTGTGGCCTTGGCTGCCATCTCCATATCCCAAACCCTTTCCACAATGGCCTGGCTCACCCCCATCTCTACCAGGACCTCAATGGCCAAATAATCCTAACTGGCCAGAGCCCCAGCCGTCTCCTAACTGGCCCTGGCCATGGCCTAAGCCTCCTGTGGTAGTCCCCAATGGCAATGGCTGTGAGAACATTTGTGAGAACCTCTTGAAGGGAGTTAAGTACCAGGAAGATCTAATCAAGAAGTGCTTGTGTCCTCGCTCATAAGTCTATCGTCCATCTTGTTGTTAGGTTTTTAAATTTCTAGGTGTTGAATTATCAATAAAAAAAAAAGAGTTTTTAAAAAAATGTCAATTGTAATGGTATCTTGCACGACAAAATGGCGCAGGCGCCATTTTTTCAATATTTAATATTCTATATTTTGCTCAGCTCTTTCTCAATTCGGGGGTACAAAGAGGAGGGCGACAATCCATCAACAAGTTTTCATTTGATTAGTCGTGTCCAGAAGATAATAATTTATTCAAATGCTTTCACTTGACCTATTAATTTTCACCACCCCACCACCTGCCACTGAGTGCACCTGCAATTGCTCATATATCTATTTCGAGCGCTCTATGATTCACAAATTTTATTTCAGTGTAAAGGTGCAACGTATGTGTGTTTCATTCAAGCTTAATGCCTTATAATCCAGGCGATTTCAGGCTCTTACCACCTTGAAGTTGGGTGGTTCAAAATTAGTCCTCAAGGGTAAAAATTGTAAGCGAAATTATATATTATTTGTTCATTTTTTCTTTTCAAAACCGTAGGAATTAGAAATAATAGAACTCAGTTTAGTTAATCAAATTAAACTTAAAAATAATAATAATAATATAATTATTTCATTATAATGAAAAGAATCTAGGGTATTAAATAGTTCAATGGTTAAAAAACTCTACGCTTCAAAATAAACCCATAATTTGCTTGTAATTTATCAAAATCTAGATTAATATCCTGTTGATGGATTATGCTTCGGGTCGATTAGTACCCAATTTCTGTGGATGACTCCGCCCCCGTGTAGGTTCGACCTTCTCCTGGGTGGGTGGGGGACTTTCACATTGGGCCCACAAAGCACAGATGTTAACGGCTTCCCCGTTGTTGGACTTTGTTAACTTGTTAGTACAAATACACAGTGTGCCAATTCACAAACACAACAAACTCTCGTGGCCGCAACAGAAACACCAACAGCCAAAGTAAATAACAAGTTGTTGACACACACAGAGTGGATAGAGTGGACCTCTAGGAGGCATGATGTATTAAATAATATATTATATTTTTTACCTTCAATAACTATAAGCCATAGTTGACTAGAAAGTATCAAAAGTATACCCAACTCTCTTTTTGAAATTTCAAATATTTTATATCATACACGTCGTATACGTAATATGGACATAAAGGCTCACCCTTAGGAGCACACACGTGCTGACACAAAGGGGCAATGCTATAGACGTTGTCCTGCCACCTCACCTGCCATTAATCGCCGAGGGGTGGTTTTGCTGGCCCCATTTAATGGTCAGCGCGCAAAAAATAATTCTGTTATTGTATTTTCCCTCATAAGTGGGCATGGATATCCAAACGAAAGCTCATTCGTCGCTGGACAGGCAAACCGAAAAGGTTCGAGGCGAAAGATGTTATCGCCGGCAGCGGAGGATACCTTCGTGCAGTGCTTCTGACAAAGTGGAAACAGTACTTGAGCGATGGGCTGCGGCTCATCCATGGAGACACAGACGAATCCTATCGTCACGGAGGTCAGCTCAGCAATGCAGTCGCGCCAAAATGGTGCACCAGCAGTAATGGTAATTGAGTGGGAATGGAGGAGACTTTAATTTCCAACAGAATCAATAGCCGTACATTTTACGCCTTTAGAACATTGTGGAGCAGTATGTACGACTAGACGAACAGATATCTAAATTGGAGGGCACATGCCCGGGTCCGCGGATGGCCACCGCCGAGGCCTGGGTGGAACATCTACGGAGCAAGCACGAGGCCATGTTAGGACTCGAGGGCATGGACCTGCCTACGATACGGGACAGAGAGAAGGATAGGGTGAGGGAAACCGATCCGGAGGAAGCGCTGCCCTTGCCAAGCTACCCTATGGGCCGGCAGGGCAATCAAATTGTGGCCAACACACCTACCAAGGACCTCGCACAGGTAATTGCCGGCCATTAACGCATGTGATGAAATTGTTGTTGGTAAATTAGTGGCTTCCTTTTGGGCTTCAGTTGGCCTATAACCTGGGCGTGATTGGCGATGCCCGAAAGGCTTCCATGCACGAGGATTTCTTTGCCAACCTGAGCGACTCGGCTATGTATTTGCTCAGCATACGATATTACGGAGAGCTGTTGGAGCACAGTAAAGAGCGACTGAAGACCCTGATGGAGAGCTATGCGGATCTGAATGAACTATATGTAAAGCAGGACGGTATCATAGCTTACATAAGCGGTGGTACATACATGACCCGACTGGAGGAAAGCATCGATGAACAGCTGGAGACGGCCAGGGACACGAGAGATAAGTTGGGCAGTGCCTTGGAGCAGTGGCGAATCTGTGGCCTGCTGTTGAGAGCTTCGGCAAACTCCGCCACCCAGGGTCTAAAGCAGTGGCGACAGCTAACCAGGATAATGTGGGTATTAAAGTTATAAAGCTAAAGAAACATTCTATACATTTTTCTTTCTAATTTTTAGCGATCCCAAGCAGAAGCTCCAATGGGCCTTGGACAGCCGCAGCTTATTACACGCCTCGATGGTTTCTTTGGATGCGGCACAGCTGGCTCTGCCGCATGTAGAACTAAAGTACATGAGTCACCGCCAGGTACTGGCCGTCAAGCACTGCAATACCTACCTTATCACAGACATAGCCAACAAGGCGCGGTAGGATTACTAATTACGCTCCCTTTCAACTTCTTTAAAGCCACATTCTTTCAGGTATGAGCACACCACTCGCGTCTTTACAAGTTACGAGTCCAATATCTCCAAAGCCTGCACGTGGCTGTACGATACATTTAACAACACCCTACGCAGTGACTTTGAAAAAGCGGAGGAAACTGTTTGTGGATTGGCTAAGACCCTGAGGGATCATCGGGAGGAAGTCTTTAGCACAGTCCAAAAATGACAAACAACTATAAAGCTCAACGAACCAGGTTTTTTGTACATAAGTTTAATAAACAATAAACGTAGAATTAGTACCAATAGGTTTTTGCTGGCGTTCGTTCCTCTTCGATTCCCATTTCCTCCATAATATCCATCTCGAAGGTGGAAAGCTTGGGTTGGAAAGTAATCTCGCCAACAACAGCGGCTGTAAGAGGTTTGACAGTTAGACGCTTCTACATAAATATATGACATGATTGGCATACCTGGTGTGTCCTTCTCCCGTTCGATGTAGGCATTTGGTGTTTTGTAGTCATGAGTTTGGTTATTCGTCTCCGGAATGGGAATTATGCGACCAGATCGCATTGACACACGCACCTTCTCACCCTCCTCTGTGAACCGCCATTCGAATTCCGTCCCTTGCAAATCTGAGGGATCCACCAATCGGATGTCTTTCAAAACATGAAGCGGCGCCTCAGACTTGATGATGATTCCGGGGAATTCTTTCTCGCCACCCACCTTACGGTAGTGCCAGTTCAGACCCTCCACAATTACCCAGTTGCGCTCGGGAATCACCTGGGTGACGATTCCCTGTTTTCCTTTGTCCTTGCCCACCAGGACTTCGATGCGGTCGCCGCGGAAGAAGCTCCACTCCTCTAAAAATAGTTTTTATTGGTTAATAAAATTTTTAAATATCGTTTGATTATTCTGCATGTAAAACCCACCAACTGGTTCTACGAGTACATGGCGGCGACATGTTCCCGGCATATTCTGCTGCCGGAACTGGCCCGTCCATGATCTGTTTGTGGTATAGCGGAATCGCTTCCTTTCAACAGTTCGCTGGAGGTAATTGATTTCTTTTGGAGTTTGCCAGTATACCTAGTAATGGAAAAAAAAACAAATATTATTAATAAGCGAGAAACTTTTCCATGAAATGTGTTACGTGAGCTGTTCCATCAATTCGTTTCTAGAAAAATGTATATTTCCCTTACCTGTTTTTTGCTACGCTCAATGTACTCCTTGGGAAGATTGGAGAAGTTCTTCAGTTTGCTAGCCAGAAATTGTGTTACCCGCATTTTGTATATTTAATTCAACAATTAACAAAATTATTAAAAATTAAATGCGGCTTGCAAACAGCTGATGGGCCAAAACAAAGTGCCATTCACAACGAAACGTCGAAGTTGGAAGATTTATAAATGGTTTGGCGGGAGTTTTGAATGTTTGTCGTGCGTATCAGACCTATAAAATTTGTTTCAGTTACTAAAAAATATATTATTATAAACGCTATGTGGGTCATTGTTGTTTAAACAACTATAATATTTTTAATACACAATATTTTTTTCTTAGTGTAATAAAATTCGCGGAGACTGGCAACATTACAAGAAGAAGCAGGTGATATTTGTTCTCTGGGGTTTTATATCGTTCTCCGCAGCCCTAAATTGCGATGCAAACCGGCTTATTATAAACAAAAGGTATGTGCTGACTATTTAAATGTGGGCACGTGCAACCGCACTTCCATTACCTGGCGCACTTGCCCACAGCGAGCTTCAATTCCTGCTCTGCACAACTCGCATTCAATCATCCGAGGAGGGCCATTAGTCATTTCCATATCAGAACACTCGCACACTGGGAAAAAAGTTCCTGCCTAAGAACCCGACACTAATAAGAATCCCAATATGTCCTACCACATAGAAATGGAAGACCACGTCGAGCCGGAGCCCCTGCTCCAGTCTAGGACCGCCAAAAACCTTCTGCGTTTTCTGAATCTCCTGCCAGCTCGGATGGCCTCGCATGACAACACCCGGTAAGCAGGTCCTTGGATAGTCCTTCATATATTCTGATTTCATACTTTTTTAACTTTTAGGAGCACCATTGTTTTCTTCGCTGTCTGTGGTCTGGATGTTTTGAACTCCTTACATTTAATTCCGCCCCATTTGCGGCAGGACACTATTGACTGGGTCTACGGGGGCCTGGTGGTGCCACGCGACAACGAAAGACGCTGTGGCGGTTTCATGGTGAGCATAAATTCGTATCTGTCAGGTGAACAAACACTCGGCCGGCAGCAAGTAAATAGAGCTTCTTGGTATTCCCTTTCCCATTCCCAACCCAGCTCCTTATCTCTTTACGTGGCCCGGCAGCACACACTGCGACAAACCTTGGCGCATCCCTCGGCGCGTTGTTTGTTTATCCAGCCAGCTGATACGCAACCAGTTCCATTTCCTTCTCCAAAAAAGAGTACTAGTATTCGGCGGCATTTCATATCAAACCCACTGACTGCACACACAGTTGTGCTCAAAGTGATATCGTTTTTACATTGGAGATATCCCCTATCTTAGAAAGCAATAACATTTGGGTTTCTTCATGAATGAATTATTTATTGACTTATTTAAGCTTCTATAATATAAATTCCCATCCCAACTTCAAAACATGGCACTTCAAAAAACAACTATTATGGCGCCCTCCACCGTGTAAATATGCATAATTGTAGGGGATATGCGAGGGAAATTCTCAATTTGCGCAGCAGTTTGGTTTACATGACACCAACACGCCCATCCCCACTCCCCAGAAGTCTCCCACATCGCTTATATCTGCCAACGCCTTATCAGAAACATGCAAAACCACTTTGGGACAGATCTGTAAATTGTACTCTTTTTTTCAGGGATGCCGCGCTATGCTTCCAAAAACGGAAGATGCTGACGTTTTAGAGTGTATGCGGAAATATCAGTGGGGTCACTTGGCCATGACCTACACCAGCATAGCCGCTCTAGTCACCTTGGGCGATGATTTATCCAGGCTGGACCGCAAGAGCATCGTCGACGGTGTGGCTGCAGTACAAAAGAAGGAAGGCAGCTTCGGAGCCTGTATCGACGGTAGCGAGGATGATATGAGGTTCGTTTATTGCGCCGCCACCATCTGCTACATGCTCGACTACTGGGGCGACGTGGATAAGGAGGCCATGTTTCAGTTCATCATGCGGAGCTTGAGGTATGACTACGGTTTCAGCCAGGAGCTGGAAGGGGAGGCCCACGGCGGTACCACTTTTTGTGCCCTGGCGGCTTTGCATCTCAGCGGTCAACTGCATCGGGTGGATTCTACTACAAAAGAGCGAATGAAACGATGGCTTATATTTCGCCAAATGGACGGTTTCCAGGGACGACCTAACAAGCCCGTGGACACTTGCTACTCCTTTTGGATCGGTGCTTCCTTGTGCATCCTAGATGCTTTTGATCTGTCCGACTATGCGAAGAATCGAGAGTATATCATAAGCACACAAGATAAATTAATCGGCGGGTTTGCAAAGTGGCCCCAGGCCAACCCCGATCCGTTTCATACGTACCTGGGCCTTTGTGGATTGGCCTTTATCGGAGAGCCCGGCTTAAACGCTGTTAATCCCAGTCTGAACATGTCCATGGCCGCCTACTCCCACCTGCAGCATCTTCACGAACAATGGCGATCTGAAAACGGAAAAGGCGACGAAGACCTCGGCCTAAGCTCCGCCGCTCAGCAGCAACTGAAGCTCAAGATAAAGGAAGGCGATGTGAAAGATACGACTGCTGCGACTACCTCCAATTCGCCATTGATTCCGGCACAATGATGGGAATCGAACGGAACAAACGACTTAAAGCACACTATTGTATTTACATTGGCCGCATTTTAGCCACGCCACGCTTTTTTACGTATATTTTGTATTTTTATGAAGAGACGCTTTGGCTTTTAGAGAGTGGATGGATAAATAGAAATATGTTTATTGTACAGCCTTAATTAATGTTACACTGTAAGAGTATGCCTAAAGTTAAAATAAAGCGTCCCATGCATGAAGCATGTATTTACAGCGAATCCCTTGGTTTTAAGCCTCGATAGCCTCCTCGAATACCGGTAGGTTCTTAAACTTGCAGAAAGAGTCGATGGTGGTGCATGGCTGGTAGGTTGTAGCTCATTCCTGGCCGATCGATGTGGACTCGTCCACGCAATGGGGCCAGCACCCGTTCGGTGACCAGCGGGCAACGCTGCACCATCAGCGACTGCAGAAGCGGACAGCTCTGTGTTAGGGCGCTAAAGGAAAAAATGGATTTGGGGCTAGTAAACGAGAAAACTGCTAGGATAGAAGTCGTTCAGGCTGTAGGCGTTGTGTGCCCCCTCAAGGAGCGGCCGGTCAATAAAAAGACACCGCTGCCGCAGCGGTGCCAGCGATCGTTCTGTTACCCGAGGGCAACGGCGGATGAGCAGGGTCCGAATACGCGGACAGTGGACTGTCAGAGCACTGAAAAATACGCAGAGGCGGATGCAGATTTCCTGTATTGTTTCCAAACCAACTAAACACAACACGGCACGCACACGATTACAGACAACGACCTCCTCCGAGAGGAGGAACACAACTGGGCATGGATTACTTACTGCACTCCATAGTCGGAAATGGCGGCACAGCCAATCAGGTTGATGTGTTCCAGTTCGCGGCAGTAGTTGCCTATTTGGATGAGCACTTGGTCGGTTACACTTGGAGTATTGGCCAGTGACAGGACGGTTAGATTGTTGAGCCTCCTGAAAAATATGATTAGGCACCGCTCGCCAATTGCACCGCAATACGAGATATCGAACTCCACCAGCTTGCTCTGGTGCAGGGTCAGAGCGTCCACCGCTCCCGTAGTGAGCCACTCGCACTTGGACAGCTTCAACACCCGCAGCTCCTTACATTCTACGATTATTGGCTGCAGGGATAGGGCCGTAATGTTGACACACTCGTTGAGGTTCACGGCCACCAGACGCTGTTTATTGTTCGCCAGCAGGGGAAGAAGCAAATCGTCCGTTAGCCAACGACAGCAGGCTAAATGCAGTACCTCCAAGCGACGGCAACAACGGGCCAGCACACGAAAGCCATCTTCAATATTGCTTGAGTTGTTTCCAGAGAGATGCAGTTCTTGACGCTTTTCTAAAGCTGCCTCTGAGAATTTTTGAGCTGTTCGTGAGCAGCATCGCAAGTTAAACAAGTCTTTCAGCGATAGGTAGACGGCAACATGTGGGATTAGAACGTCGTCCCAACAAACGTCAAACAGTGAACAGGGAGTGGGAGTTGCAGGTCGAGAGATGTCCAGAGTTCTCGGACTGGGCGAGCGGGCCATGGACGCCAGGTGCGCCTCCTCCTCAGGATGCAGGGTACACATGTTTTCGTCCCCGTCTCCACCTTTGATTACGTGATCTGGGCACCAGCGACCCAATCCAAGGAGCCAGGTGAAGACGCAATTTATTGTTTACCTTGCAGGCAAACAGCTGATAGCAGTGTTGTAAAATAGTTAAAGCTATCAATGAGGTGTGACCAAATAACACTATTATTCTTGTGAGAAACCGCCAAAAAAAATTAAACTTAATTTAAAAACTAAAATGGCGGCCTATTTACAATCTCGAAACAAAACAAAAAAAAAACTATCAATTCTACCAAGCCTAAAATAAAAAAAGATTTTTTTACACAAGCATTTTTGCACAAGACATGGCAAAGAATTATATGTAACACCCATGATTTAAATTTTAAAAGAAAAATCCGCTTATTTATACAATTTTACATTTTTTTTTGTTTTGAAGATATTAATTTTATTTAATAAAATTAGTAAGCAATGCCAGTGTGGTCACGGATCCAGTCCAAGTGGTAGGTGACACGCTGGAATCCAGCAGGAGCGCCAGACTGGCATCCATTGCTGGAGACAAAGTTGCTGACTCCGACCAGTTTGTTGCCGTCGTGTGTGACCAATGGGCCACCGGAATCTCCTTGGCAGATGGACTTGCCATCGACGGTACGGGTGCAGATAATGTTGTCACCGACGGATCCGTAAGTCCAGCCGCACTCGTCGTTGTGGACGATCTGGAGATCGACGCACTGAAGCCAATCGGGCAGAGGGCTGCCGTCATAGGTGCCACCCCAGCCGCAGGCAACAGCCCACCATTCGTTGTAGTTGTTGTAGCGATCGTTGTAGCTGGGCAGCTCAACCTTGTTGACCATGTGCCAGAAGTCCACGTGGGGAATACGGATCAGAGCAATGTCAGCGTTGGGGTGCTTGATGAAGTCGCCGTTGCCAACCCAGTGGGTGTACTGGGCGTTGGTGCGCCAGGTGGCTCCGAAGTAGACGGTTACGGAGGCAGCATCTCCGATGCAGTGCTCAGCAGTCAGGACCCAGGTGTTGCTGATGATAGAGCCACCGCACCACCAACCGCCGCTAAAACCGAGACCGACGGTGTAAGGAGCCTTGCCCTCGGATGCGGGGTATCCGTTGGTGACACGTCCCTGGATCTTGGAGCTCTTAGGCACATCCTTCACAAACACCTTGTCGTCGAAAGCAGAGGCCGAAGCCACGGCCAGAGCCAGAATAGTAAGGAACACCTTCATGTTGATGTCGAAACTAGATTCTAGCACCCCTGGGAGGCTTTTTATATACCCTTTCAAACATCCGTTACTACTATCGTATCTTCGATTTCAATAGGATCGTAAATATTCTTCAAGACTCCCATAAACGATGTCACTGATAAGGATTGAGAAGTGCACTCCTTTTTTTTTTTGCTATTGAAGCTCAAATAAATAATATAAATCTTGATTCTGTAGATAGAACGTTGTTATATCTTACTAATTTTAATTTAAATGATTAAAGTCCTATAAGCTATTTATAATATGGGAATATTCAAATAATTGTAATCAACTACTTAAAATTAATTCAGATAAGCCAGATACTAAATATGTACATAAATCTTCCTTATCAAACGGACTTAATGGAAAAAAATTCTTCCTGCAAAGTCATTATATTTCGTGGTATTGTTCAGTTTTAAATATTTTAATTTGTTGATATGACCATGTTTATTTTTTTCCGTTCACCCTATCTAATCAAATATGTACTTTGAAAATTTACAATGATCTCTTGAATTCGATGATTTTTAACAAAAGAAGTTACTCAGCCACTTAAGAAACTTTTACATATACGTATGATTATTATTGAACTCGTGTTATTGATTATATGAAATATATATTTTATTTTTACATAAAGTACTATACACCATCAAATGTGGGATTGCCCAGATCTTTTTACACAGAAATCTCCTTGGCAAATCAATAAATTTCCATAAAAGTCCGCCGGATACTTAGGTCCTGACGCACTGCGGCACCGTCATGATGGACGATCTGGATGTAGACGTACTGAAGACAATCGGCTAGCCCACTTTATTCGTTATATTTGCGTTGTAGCGCTTGATTATGTTCGTTTGGAAGAAAGTGGGTGTATTGGGGTGTTGGCTTTACTGATGGTCGTTAGATCCCAGGTGTTCCTAATAATAGAGCCACAGCCAAGTCCGTTTTATTCTTTTTCCTATTTAATAGACTCATTCTTAGACCCCAGAAACTTTTTTAATAAAATGCTTAGTTTATAAAAATGAATGATTTTATTAAAATGTTATTGGAATTTTTTTGTTAGCAGAAAAAGAATGCTATTTGTATTTAAAAAAATTAGTAAGAAATGCCAGTGTGGTCACGGATCCAGTCCAAGTGGTAGGTGACACGCTGGAATCCACCAGGGGCGCCAGACTGGCATCCATTTCCAGAGACGAAGTTGGTGACTCCGACCAGTTTGTTGCCGTCGTGTGTGACCAATGGGCCACCGGAATCTCCTTGGCAGATGGACTTGCCATCAACGTTACGGGTGCAGATAATGTTGTCACCGACGGATCCGTAGGCCCAGCCGCATTCGTCGTTGTGAACAATCTGGAGATCGACGCACTGGAGCCAGTCGGGTAGGGAGCTGCCGTCATAGGTGGTGCCCCATCCGCAGGCAACGGCCCAATATTCGTTGTAATTGTTGTAGCGATCGTTGTAGCTGGGCAGCTCAACCTTGTTGACCATGTGCCAGAAGTCCACGTGGGGAATACGGATCAGAGCAATGTCAGCGTTGGGGTGCTTGATGAAGTCACCGTTGCCAACCCAGTGGGTGTACTGGGCGTTGGTGCGCCAGGTGGCTCCGAAGTAGACGGTAACGGAAGCGGAATCACTGATGCAGTGCTCAGCAGTCAGGACCCAGGTGTTGCCAATGATGGAGCCACCGCACCACCAACCGCCGCTGAAGCCGAGACCGACGGCGTAGGGAGCCTTGCCCTCGGATGCGGGGTATCCGTTGGTGATACGTCCCTCGATCTTGGAGGCCTTGGGCACATCCTTCACGAACACCTTGCTTTCGAAAGCAGAGGCCGAAGCCACAACCAGAGCCAGAATAGTAAGGAACACCTTCATGTTGACGGCGAATCTGAGATCTGGAACCCTAGGTAGCCCTTTTATACGCATTTCCGAACCTCTATTCCTACTACCCGTATCTTTGAATTGAACAGGATCGTAAATATTCTTCCAGACTTCCATAAACGATGTCAGAGATAAGGTCTAAAAAGAACACTTTTTTATTGTAAGTCTTTTAAAAACTATAATAAACTTATAAATTTGTAGTTAAATCTTACTGAATGTGATTTGAATTGTAATAAAGCTCTATCATATCCTTTATCCTATCATCTAATAAATTATTGCCAACCAATTATCTTCACATAAATTTCACTTGCCAAACAATTCCCACGAACCCAACTACTTTTCCTTAGTCATGATACATATATCTTGGTTTGGTACAGTGTTTAATATTTTGATTAATATATATGACGATGTTTCTTTGTTTCTTGTTCCCCCTATCTAATCAAGTATATACTTTGAAAATGTACAATGATTTCTTGAGTTGAATGATTTTCAATAAAAGTCCGTCAATTTATAAAAAAAAGGACACCCAGACAATTGGACTCGTATTTTCGATAAAACAAATATATTATCATTTGAGGGCTGTCTGTTTAAAGCTTTATAAACTGGACTTACATTTTCAGTCTTATTCATTTTCATTAGACTCTGTTTAAGACCCAAAAAAATTTTTAAATAATGTTTAATAAAGATAGTTTTTTCATTTTTTTACTTGTTTTTTTTTTTAAAACTATTTATTAAAAAACATTATTGATAAAAAATTGATTTACGTTCTTCCTCGCTTCATTTTTTCAATGTAGATGGGATTTTTGAATCTGGAATAATTCCCCTCTGTGATTTAACTCGACACATAAATACTTCTCAAGAGCCCCATAAATGGTTTTATGATACGGCTTCAGGAAAAAACCAATTGAACCGCCTTCTAAAAGTTATTTAAATGATTAAGCATTATTATTAGAGTAAAACTTAAATTAAAGTTTAATTTGAAGGTTTTTTAAAAACTCGCCTCTACGGTTTTACATTCTAAATTAATACGAGTTGTTAAAAATACTCTGCCACCTTATCTAATAAAAAAACGTATACACATACATACATACATACATATGTATATATATGTCCATGCCTAATCTAAGATCAATGTTGTATCAACTTCCTGTTGCTATAATTTTTTTTTAAATCTATTTTATTCAAGTGGAAGGTGTCATATCTAATCTATTCCTTACATTTTTGATTTGGCGAATGGAATTTTACATTTGTATAGTCTTCAAATATAATATACTGAGTATAAAAATCATATCTCTATAAATATACGATTTTCCTGAGGGAGCTGTAATATCAATTCTTAAATGCGCAAATGCTTAATCTTATCCAATTTGCTAACAATCAAAAGCCAAACCAATCCCTTAGTTTAATTAAAACTTAAATCGATAAGACTTTATTAATTAAATAGGGTAAAACTTAGAAAAAAATAAAAAAAACTGTGTGTGTAAAAAATAATACCGAAAAATTTGTCAATATATTATTCAATAGTATTCCAAACTTTAATATATCAAGAGGCTCCCATACTAATGAATACAATATTGACAATTCCAAAAAATACGTTTAACAAAAATCCTCAAAAACAATATGTTTCCAGGTTTTGATGCAGTTTGAAGGAGAATCAATCTACAAATCGATTAAGGTATTCCGCTTAAGGATCGGATGAAAAAAGGCAAAGATATGGCTATCGCTGTGGCCCCTATTGCCCTCCCCATGCATTTTTCAACATTTTGAAGGGGTCTCCACAGAAAATTTGACAAAAAATCTAAAAAATATTTTGTTTCCAGGTTTTAATGCAGATTTATTGAGAATCGATCTACAAATCGATTAAGGTATTCCGCTTAAGGATCGGATGAAAATAGGCAAAGATATGGCTATCGCTGTGGCTCCTATTGGCCTCCCCATGCGTTTTTCAACATTTTGAAAGGGTCTCCCCAGAAAATTTGACAAAAATCTAAAAATATTTTGTTTCAGGTTTTAATGCAGATTTATTGGGAATCGATCTACAAATCGATTAAGGTATTCCGCTTAAGGATCGGATGAAAATAGGCAAAGATATGGCTATCGCTGTGGCCCCTATTGCCCTCCCCATGCATTTTCAACATTTTGAAGGGGTCTCCCAGAAAATTTGACAAAAAATCTAAAAAATATTTTGTTTCCAGGTTTTAATGCAGATTTATTGAGAATCGATCTACAAATCGTTTAAGATATTCCGCTTAAGGATCGGAAGGCTCCCATACTAATGAATACAATATTGACAATTCCAAAAAATACGTTTAACAAAAATCCTCAAAAACAATATGTTTCCAGGTTTTGATGCAGTTTGAAGGAGAATCAATCTACAAATCGATTAAGGTATTCCGCTTAAGGATCGGATGAAAAAAGGCAAAGATATGGCTATCGCTGTGGCCCCTATTGCCCTCCCCATGCATTTTTCAACATTTTGAAGGGGTCTCCACAGAAAATTTGACAAAAAATCTAAAAAATATTTTGTTTCCAGGTTTTAATGCAGATTTATTGAGAATCGATCTACAAATCGATTAAGGTATTCCGCTTAAGGATCGGATGAAAATAGGCAAAGATATGGCTATCGCTGTGGCTCCTATTGGCCTCCCCATGCGTTTTTCAACATTTTGAAAGGGTCTCCCCAGAAAATTTGACAAAAATCTAAAAATATTTTGTTTCCAGGTTTTAATGCAGATTTATTGGGAATCGATCTACAAATCGATTAAGGTATTCCGCTTAAGGGTCGGATGAAAATAGGCAAAGATATGGCTATCGCTGTGGCCCCTATTGCCCTCCCCATGCTTTTTTCAACATTTTGAAGGGGTCTCCCCAGAAAATTTGACAAAAAATCTAAAAATATTTTGTTTCCAGGTTTTAATGCAGATTTATTGAGAATCGATCTACAAATCGTTTAAGATATTCCGCTTAAGGATCGGATGAAAATAGACAAAGATATGGCCATCTCTGTGGCTCCTATTGCCCTCCCCATGCATTTTTCAACATTTTGCAGGGCTCTCCCCAGAAAATTTGACAAAAATCTAAAAAATATTTTGTTTCCAGGTTTTAAAGCAGATTTATTGAGAATCGATCTACAAATCGATTAAGGTATTCCGCTTAAGGATCGGATGAAAATAGGCAAAGATATGGCTATCGCTGTGGCCCCTATTGCCCTCCCCATGCATTTTTCAACATTTTGAAGGGGTCTCCCCAGAAAATTTGACAAAAAATCTAAAAAATATTTTGTTTCCAGGTTTTAATGCAGATTTATTGAGAATCAATCTACAAATCGATTAAGGTATTCCGCTTAAGGATCGGATGAAAGTAGGCAAAGATATGGCTATCGCTGTGGCCCCTATTGCCCTCCCCATGAATCTTTCAAGATTTTGAAGGGATCCCCAGAAAATTTGACAAAAATCTAAAAATATTTTGTTTCCAGGTTTTAATGCAGATTTATTGAGAATCGATCTACAAATCGATTAAAGTATTCCGCTTAAGGATCGGATGAAAAAAGGCAAAGATATGGCTATCGCTGTGGCCCCTATTGCCCTCCCCATGCATTTTTCAACATTTTGAAGGGGTCTCCCCACAAAACTTGACAAAAAATCTAAAAAATATTTTGTTTCCAGGTTTTAATGCAGATTTATTGAGAATCGATCTACAAATCGATTAAGGTATTCCGCTTAAGGATCGGATGAAAATAGGCAAAGATATGGCTATCGCTGTGGCCCCTATTGCCCTCCCCATGAATCTTTCAAGATTTTGAAGGGATCCCCCCAGAAAATTTGACAAAAAATCTACAAAATATTTTGTTTCCAGGTTTTAATGCAGATTTATTGAGAATCGATCTAAAAATCGATTAAGGTATTCCGCTTAAGGATCGGATGAAAATAGGCAAAGATATGGCTATCGCTGTGGCCCCTATTGCCCTCCCCATGCATTTTTCAACATTTTGAAGGGGTCTCCCCAAAAAATTTGACAAAAAATCTAAAAAATATTTTGTTTCCAGGCTTTAATGCAGATTTATTGAGAATCGATCTACAAATCGATTAAGGTATTCCGCTTAAGGATCGGATGAAAATAGACAAAGATATGGCCATCTCTGTGGCTCCTATTGCCCTCCCCATGCATTTTTCAACATTTTGAAGGGGTCTCCCCAGAAAATTTGACAAAAAATCTAAAAAATATTTTGTTTCCAGGTTTTAATGCAGATTTATTGAGAATCGATCTACAAATCGATTAAGGTATTCCGCTAAAGGATCGGATGAAAATAGACAAAGATATGGCCATCTCTGTGGCTCCTATTGCCCTCCCCATGCATTTTTCAACATTTTGAAGGGGTCTCCCCAGAAAATTTGACAAAAAATCTAAAAAATATTTTGTTTCCAGGTTTTAATGCAGATTTATTGAGAATCGATCTAAAAATCGATTAAGGTATTCCGCTTAAGGATCGGATGAAAATAGGCAAAGATATGGCTATCGCTGTGGCCCCTATTGCCCTCCCCATGCATTTTTCAACATTTTGATGGGGTCTCCACAGAAAATTTGACAAAAAATCTAAAAAATATTTTGTTTCCAGGTTGTAATGCAGATTTATTGAGAATCGATCTACAAATCGATTAAGGTATTCCGCTTAAGGATCGGATGAAAATAGGCAAAGATATGGCTATCGCTGTGGCTCCTATTGCCCTCCCCATGCGTTTTTCAACATTTTGAAAGGGTCTCCCCAGAAAATTTGACAAAAAATCTAAAAAATATTTTGTTTCCAGGTTTTAATGCAGATTTATTGGGAATCGATCTACAAATCGATTAAGGTATTCCGCTTAAGGATCGGATGAAAATAGGCAAAGATATGGCTATCGCTGTGGCCCCTATTGCCCTCCCCATGCATTTTTCAACATTTTGAAGGGGTCTCCCCAGAAAATTTGACAAAAAATCTAAAAAATATTTTGTTTCCAGGTTTTAATGCAGATTTATTGAGAATCGATCTACAAATCGTTTAAGATATTCCGCTTAAGGATCGGATGAAAATAGACAAAGATATGGCCATCTCTGTGGCTCCTATTGCCCTCCCCATGCATTTTTCAACATTTTGAAGGGGTCTCCCCAGAAAATTTGACAAAAAATCTAAAAAATATTTTGTTTCCAGGTTTTAAAGCAGATTTATTGAGAATCGATCTACAAATCGATTAAGGTATTCCGCTTAAGGATCGGATGAAAATAGGCAAAGATATGGCTATCGCTGTGGCCCCTATTGCCCTCCCCATGCATTTTTCAACATTTTGAAGGGGTCTCCCCAGAAAATTTGACAAAAAATCTAAAAAATATTTTGTTTCCAGGTTTTAAAGCAGATTTATTGAGAATCGATCTACAAATCGATTAAGGTATTCCGCTTAAGGATCGGATGAAAATAGGCAAAGATATGGCTATCGCTGTGGCCCCTATTGCCCTCCCCATGCATTTTTCAACATTTTGAAGGGGTCTCCCCAGAAAATTTGACAAAAAATCTAAAAAATATTTTGTTTCCAGGCTTTAATGCAGATTTATTGAGAATCGATCTACAAATCGATTAAGGTATTCCGCTTAAGGATCGGATGAAAATAGACAAAGATATGGCCATCTCTGTGGCTCCTATTGCCCTCCCCATGCATTTTTCAACATTTTGAAGGGGTCTCCCCAGAAAATTTGACAAAAAACCTAAAAAATATTTTGTTTCCAGGTTTTAATGCAGATTTATTGAGAATCGATCTACAAATCGATTAAGGTTTTCCGCTTAAGGATCGGATGAAAATAGACAAAGATATGGCCATCGCTGTGGCCCCTATTGCCCTCCCCATCTATTTTTCGACATTTTGAAGGGGTCTCCCCAGAAAATGTGACAAAAAATCTAAAAAATATTTTCTTACCAGGTTTTAATGCAGATTTAATGAGAATCGATCTACAAATCGATTAAGGTATTCCGCTTTAGGATCGGATGAAAATAGACAAAGATATGGCCATCTCTGTGGCCCCTATTGCCCTCCCCATGCATTCTTCATAATTTTAAAGGGGACTCCTCAGAAAATTTGACAAAAACCCTCAAAAATAATTTGTTTCCAGGTTTTGATGCAGTTTGAAGGAGTGTCGATCTACAAATCGTTTAAGGTATTCCGCTCAAGAATCGGATGATTTTCGTCAAAGTTATAGCCTTCGTTGGGGGTCACGTGGACCCTCCCATTCATTCTTTATAATTTTGATGGGCGACCTCTTGAAATTTGTTCTTAAAAGTAAGTTGTATGGCGTTCTTGTTGACATTTTTCTTTAAAAACATTTTTCAATGTCGTATACTTAAGACGAATAAAACCACAAATTATAATTTTATTCTAAAAATTTTATTTCAAAAAAGAAATAAATCTAATTTAGTAGGAAATGCCAGTGTGGTCGCGGATCCAGTCCAAGTAGCTGGTGACACGGGTGAAACCATCGGGCAGGCCGGAGGTGCATCCGTTGGCGGCCACGAAGGAGGTGACACCGACAAGCTTGTTTCCGTCGTGGATAACCAGGGGACCGCCAGAGTCACCAGCGCAGGTGGACTTGCCACCAGGGGTGGAAGTGCAGATGACATTGTCGGTGACAACTTCGGATCCGTACACACCAGCACAATCGTTGCGGCTGATGATCTGGGAGTCGACGCAGTTCAGGTAGTCAGACACACCGCAGCTGTCGCAAGGACGACCCCATCCGGAAGCCAGAGCCCACCAGCCTTCGAAGTTGTTGTAGCGCTCGTTGCCGTTGGGCAGCTCAACCCGGTTGACCAGATGCCAGAAATCAACGTGAGGGGTGTTGATCAGGGAGATGTCGTTGTTCAGGTTGTTGGTGTTGTAGTGCTCGTGCTGGCGGAAGCTGCCGCTGCCGACGGTGTGGGTGTACTGGGCCTGGAGGCGCCACAGGGCACCGTAGTAGATGGTCACGGAGTCAGCACCGTGGGTGCAGTGAGCAGCAGTGATCACCCAGGAGTTGCCAATGATGGAGCCACCGCACCACCATCCGCCGCCGCCGCTGCTGAAGCCCAGACCAACAATGTATGGCACCTTGCCTTCGTAGGCTGGGTATCCATTGGTGATGCGGCCCTCGATCGAACCGGATCCGGATCCCAGGATGGCGTCCTTAACGGGCACCGGGCGCACGGGCTTCTTGGGCAGAGCGGTGGCGGAGGCGACGGCCAAAGCCAAAACAGCGAGGAACAGCTTCATGTTGCTTTTTGGAGTACAACTGACTGACGGTGGTTTGGTCATTGATTTATATACCTGTCATATCAAAGATCTCTAGTGATACTAGAGAGTTCTATCCACTTGGCACTGCCGAATCTAATCGTACTAAATTTGCACTCCGATAGCTTTCCTGCGGCTTAGAGCTTTCCTCCCCCATTATCTTTTGGGGTGTGCGCCGAGTGTCTGATCTCCCGATCCACTTACTTTCCAGCTGATGACTTGCACTCCATTTGAGGTCCGCCCATCCATTCATTAAAAGATTGTGTGCCACAATCGCAACAGACGTGCCGCCACTTTCAGCCGATCTGTCGATAAGTCCTGATAAAGACCCATTTACTCCGTAAGCCACAACTGAATGGAGCACTTGAACAGAAGCACAGAACGATTAGAGGGTGATCCTCGTGGAAATCAGTTTTTAATAAGCCAAACTGATTATACTTTATATAATCAAAATAATAATACTATCAAAATAATAACTGTCGTTTATTAAAATATTATAGTTTAAAAGAAGGATTTTTTATTCATTTTTTTTTATTAAATAAAAAGTTTAACCAAGATGATTAAATATATTCTTTATATTTTAAAGTTTTGTGTTCGTATTCTAAATCCCAAAAGATGTTCAAGAAAAAATCATGCTAAAGGGCTAAGGTAAACTATTAGGTAGTTATTAAAAGTCCGGGTAATTAAAGGATGTGAGGTTGGTTATCCTTTAGAGATAATCCTCACTGTTCTCAGAGATCTTCTTTTCTATCGTTTTAGACTACATTGGTTTGAGCAATCGTATAATTCTCAGTCGTCGAGGACCCAAAAGGAATACATATATAAAAACTATTGAAGTGGATCCCAACTCATACATAATATTAACGCTATTAAACAATTTAACATTGGATATTTAAAAAAAATTCAGCCTCCTACACAAGAATATTTAGAGTCTAAAAACATTAGTTATTTTATAAGCACTATTAATCCTTAAATCGACTTTCCTAAAAGACTTTTTCTTAAGCCACTTTTAGAGACATTTAGACATGTAGACATTTTTAACCACTTAACCTTTTACTATATAAATATATATTACCTAAATAGAATATTTAATCATTAGAGTAATCTTTCGTTAACCACTGATTACCACAAAAAAGATCCAACCCCTCTTTATAAAACAAAAATTATTTTTAATTCTTTTAAACTCAATTTATTTTTTTAAAAAAGATGCTTAGTAGTAAGCGACACCAGAGTTGTCGCGGATCCAGTCCAACTGGTTGGTGACACGAGTGAATCCAGAGGGCAGGCCAGCGGTGCAGCCATTGCCAGACACCCAGGAGGTGACTCCCACAAGGCGACCACCGTCGTGGAGCACCAGGGGGCCGCCAGAGTCGCCGGAGCAGGTGGACTTGCCGCCAGAGGTGGAGACGCAGAGGATGCCATCGGGCTGGTTTCCGTAGGTACGGGAGCACTCAGAGTTGCTGATGATCTGCAGGTCGACGCACTCCAACCAGTCAGGCTGGGATCCGGAGGTAGTCAGTCCCCAGCCGCAGGCAACAGCCCAGGCGTTGTCGTACGAGTTGTAACGGTCGTTGAAGCTGGGCAGCTCCACCTTGTTAACCATGTGCCAGAAGTCCACGTGGGGAGTGTGGATCAGGGCGATATCGTTACCGTTGTGGTTGGGCCAGTTTCCGTTCTGACGGAATTCGTGGGATCCCACGGTATGGGTGAACTGGGCGTTGGTGCGCCAGGTGGCTCCGTAGTAGATGGTCACCTGAGCGGCATTGTTGGTGCAGTGAGCAGCAGTCAGCACCCAGTCGTGGGCGATGATGGAACCACCGCACCACCAGCCGCCGTTACCGCTGAAGCCCAGACCCACAGTGTAGGGAGCCTTGCCCTCGTAGGCTGGGTAGCCGTTCACGATGCGACCGTTGATCTTGGCATCGCGGGGCAGGTCCTTGGGGTAGACCTGCTTGGGGTAAGCAGTCTCGGCAGAGACGGCGGCCAGAGCCAGAGCCAATACAATGAATACTTTCATGGTTGAAGGGCGAATGTGATTTCCATTGGCACCCAGGCGTTTTTATTCATCTTTCTTATCAGGAGCCGCAGGGCTTGAAGTGGCCGCCACTCTTGGTTATCCTATCTCCCTACGTTCATCACGATTAGACGCATAGAAATTAATAGATAGGGAGGGCTGACCACATCTAGATAGTTTGAAATTTAATTGTTGGAGGTATGTACTTAAACACAAGCTATTGTTTGGATTCCTTTCGCATTTTTAATACAAAATTTGATAGCCTTAAGGGTCGAATAAAAAAACTACTTTATTAAACTTTTCCTTATCTAAAATGTCTTAACATTTCTTTAAAGTTTATCTTGAATAAAATAGGTACTTTACTAAAACTACTTTCCCTAGACTTATAGGTCCTATTTATTAATTTCTAATAAATCGCGCAATTTTTGAATTTGAACATTTTATAGCAAGATTTACGACATTTTATTATAGTTTTTAACCCAAAATTAACTTAAGCATTTCCCTTAAAAGTTTAAAAACATATTCAAATTTTGCGCGCAGTGATGTTAGGGCGCAATGCCTTACTAATTTGTAGTTCACACGCCTGGCCACTCTAGCAACCACATTTGTTTATTATTCCGCCAAAAAACCTTTTTGATTAAATGCACAATGTCTGCCTGCAGTGCCACCGAAATTGCCGAGAAGAAACGCATTGCACTAGCCAAGCTTCAGGCGAAGAAGACACAGCTCCTGGCTGCCGGAGCAGCCACCTCGTCCACAACTCCAACAAGTGCACCGCAAAAACCCACAACAAATGGGAACTCCAATGTGCCACAGGTCAAATCGCCCCTTAATTTCTACCGCTCTCCGCCGGCGGAGCAGCAGAAGATCAGCCGGATAGCCCAAGCCTCCAGTGACAACAAAAGTTCATCGTTTTTAAATGCATTGAAGGCGATAAAACAGACTTCAACGAGGGAGTTGGCCAGAGGAGCCGCACATCCTTACCAGAAACCGAACAACGAGGCGGGAAAGGGGAAACCCAGTCTTTCTCTTGCACCAGAGAAGGAGGACAGGCCATCGGTGGCACAGCGACTGAGCTCTATAACCTGTAGCCTTAACATGATAAGTACACATCGCTTTGCCGTCCACACGACGGGTTACCATGAACAACTTATTGCCGTGTTTAAGAATATGCCCACACGATCCTACGACAATAACACACGTATATGGACTTTCGACTTGAAGGACTACCAAACGCTTCTAAAGCACACAGCGGATTTAAAACCCTATGTTCATATGAACAGCATTCCCAAAAAGGTGATAGATCTCTGCCAGAAGCCACCGACGGCCCTTGACAAGAGTGTATTGGCGTCCATAGAACCTAAGCTGGCAGACAAGCTTATGCCGTTTCAGCAGGATGGAGTATGGTACTTCTATTCTCTTTATTATAAGTTCAATAAAATCTCACAAATACATTCTTTGCAGCTTTGCCATCGCCCAAATGGGTCGCATAATGATCTGTGATGAGATGGGCCTGGGGAAGACCTATCAAGCCCTTGCAGTGGCGGACTACTTTCGAGACGACTGGCCTCTGCTAGTTTGCACAACCGCCTCGACACGAGACAGTTGGGCAAAGCATGTTGTGGAGCTGCTACCCAAGGTGCCCATCCACTATCTCCAGGTGCTGAACAACAACCAGCAGTATGTAGCCGAGGCACAGGTATTAATCACCAGCTATAACATGATGGAGCGCCACATGGACAAACTACTTCAGCGAAAATACGGCTTTATCATCTTCGACGAGTCACACACTTTAAAAAACAGCAAAGCCAAGTGCACGGCAGTGGCCAAGAGGCTTACTGATCAGGCTAAACGTGTAATCCTATTATCTGGTACTCCAGCTCTGTCAAGGCCCTTGGAACTGTTTACCCAACTTCAAATGGTAGACAGCAAGTTTATGAACTTTATGGAGTTTAGTAAGAAAGTTCATAACTTTAATGTCCTTATTTTATTTAATACACTATAATTTTGTAGCCACTCGGTACTGTGATGGAAAACAATCAACGTTTGGCTGGGATGCCAATGGGCAATCTAACTTGGAAGAGCTTAAAGTTATTCTCACTCTAAAGTACATGCTGCGGCGAACAAAAACAGAGGTTCTTCCTCAGCTGGCTGAGAAAAATCGGTGGGTTTTCATCTATTCTATTCTTTCTTAAGAAGAATCTAATGGTCTAATGGTCTAATAAATCTATAGAGAAACAGTCATCCTAGATCCTGCTTTGGTGTCCATCAACGAGGAGACCAAAACTAGCTTAGACGCCTTTCAGCAAGGAACTCAATTCCAGTAAAGGCAAGACCAAGGAGGAGATCTTGCTCCGTTTCTATGCCCGCACAGCCGAAGTAAAAACAAAGGCGGTCTGGTAATAAATTTTTATTTTAATTCCTCATGTAGATGAGCCTCTTATTAGTCTAGATTTTTATTCTTTTCACAGTGCCTACTTAAAAACTTTGGTTAAAGAGAAAATCAAGTTCATCATTTTTGCACATCATCGAGTCATGATGGACGCTATTAGCGATTGCCTTGCGGAGCTAAGAGTCCACTATATTCGCATTGATGGACAGACTCGTAGCGATCTCAGGGCAGACTTTGTGGACACCTTCCAAAAGAACAGCAGCTGCAAAGTTGCTTTGCTTTCCCTAAAGGCCTGTAATTCCGGGATCACCCTGACGGCAGCCGAGATGATTCTGTTTGCCGAACTTGACTGGAATCCAAGTGTAAAATAAAATTAAACAAGAAGCTTAAAACACCTCTTTATATTTTTGTTATCTATATTATACAGACCCTGGCTCAAGCTGAGAGTAGAGCCCATCGCATTGGACAGACAAAAGCCGTCATCTGTCGCTATTTAATGGCCCATGGTACTGCCGATGACACTATCTGGGCAATGCTGAAAAACAAGCAGGAAGTGCTCAGCAAAGTAGGGATCTTTGCTGAAAACCTTCAGAAAGCCACACACACAGCAGCACCCACTACGGTATACCTAAAATTAAATACTTATGTAATATGATTATAAACCTCTAACTTCCCTGACTTACAGTCTCACAAAATCGAAGAGTACTTCTCACCGGCCAAAAGCTCATCAGCCAAACCGGAAAGAGGCTCCATTAGGCAATACCTATCCCCAGTTCCTGCCAAATCTCACAGTGAACCAAATAATAATTTGGAAAACACCAAAGAACCGAATAAGGAATCAGATATTGCAGCCTTTTTCAACGATGATGATGACGAGGCGTTCATGGATCTGGATATTTAGATAAATAAAGTGTAAAAAAAACAAAATTTATTTATTATATAGAAATCAATTTTTCGAATTAGTTTTAACCAGTTAATTAAAAGAGTGAACTCTTTTGTTTATCAACAAAAAAAGTCAACTTTCTAATAAATAAAACAGCGCATGCTCCACGCTCTATTCAAGTTGCCCCCAGCCGAGTCCTGGCAACAGACAAACAAACACTCAAGCAATCCTTTTTAATTGCATCAAAAAATAAAATTTACACAAGATAAAGTTTTTGAAACCTACGATATATAGATACAATGGATTCCGATACGGAACTACTGGGAGAGGAAGAGGACCTGAACGACGAGCCGGAAGTTTCCTTCGCCCACGAGATCCTGCATGTGGAGTAAGTTCTAGTATAGCATCCTAACTCCTTCCTTGGGCTAATTGGCTGTGGCTACTGCTCTCCAGGCACTCGTTCGGTTACGATTGTAAAAAGCTATTCAATCTGGTGTTGGTGGATCCCGATACGCTGATCTTTGCATCAGGTAACTTCTTAAACTACTTCAGCATATCGCGCCAGGAGATCACCTTTCAGGAGACCATTTTTGGATGCGGCATAGGCTTCATCACGGTGGGTTACAGGTATTTAAAGGTCTGGATTGTCATGTAGCTTGAATTTGCAGAAAAACGAACACCCGGACTACCCAAACCTTTTCACGGTAGGCGAGAACGGACCCACACCAACGATCTATATCTACGAGTATCCCTCTCTTGATGTCCGAATTAAGCTCCGGAATGCGGCAAAGGCCTGCTTCACGGCCGGGTCGTACAACAAAACGGGGGAATTGTTTGCCTCCCAGGCCGGCTATCCGGACTTCATAATAACCATATGGCGCTGGGAGAAGGGCGAGGTGGTGCTGCGAGCCAAGTCATTCCAGAGCGACATTCTGTTTGTGCACTTCTCGGAATTCAATCCCATCCTGCTCTGCTCCTCTGGCCTCAGTCACATCAAGTTCTGGAAGATGGCCAACACGTTTACCGGGCTTAAGCTGAAGGGGGATCTGGGTCGCTTCGGCAAGACTGACTTCAGCGACATCTATGCCATGTTCATGCTCTCCGATGAGAACGTAATCTCCGGCTGTGATTGGGGCAACATGCTGCTCTGGCAGGCGGGCCTCATCAAGTTCGAGATCTGCCGAAAGGGTCGGAAACCTTGCCACATGAAACCCATAACTCGGATCACCATGAAGAATGGCGAGGTGACCACAGTGGGAATGGATGGCTACGTCCGCGTGTGGTACTGGGAGACTGTTGATCTAGCCGATCCCCCCGAGGATGATTTGTTCGTGGAGATCGATCCGATCTACGAGTTCAAGATTGCCGATGTGGAGCTACGCTGCATGCAAAAGATCCTGCCCTTCGACGAGACGGACTTCACCCATTACGCCCAGGACGGTAAGGGAGGAATATGGTTTTGCGACATCAACACCTTCGACGTGCCCCAAAAGCCACGCAAGCTCTACTCCTGCATCGGCGGCAAGGTGATAGCCGCCCAAATGTCACCCATATCGACTCACTTCATGGCCATGTCGGAGTGCGGCAAGCTCTTTGTGTACAACTACGAGGAGCAGCGCCTGATGCTGGAGAAGCAGTTCCCGGCTGATGGTGTCGATTTCCTCTGGCTGGACACAAATGTCTCGTCGCGGGGCACCGAAATGGTAGCTGGTTTTAAAGACGGCATCCTTCGGCAGCTATACCTCGATATAAGCGATCCCAATAGGCCAACCATGAAGCGGGTGAGATGTTTTAAAGCTCACACCTCACCAATTTCCCGGATCACCGTCAATCCAGCGGGGACTGTGTTGCTGACCGGCAGCGTTGACATGAGCATATTTATCTACCTCCTCGGCAAGGATGAAAACGAGATGGTGGATATGCATCCTATTGGGTTTGTACAGTTTAAGGCGGTGCCGAACTGCTTCTGCTGGCACGAAGAAGTGCCTACCATTGTCCTAATCGGCTGCAAGTCCGGTGAGGTCTATGAGTACAATATCCGTACGAAGGTAACTGAAGACGAGACCTATCTCTCCTACAACATCACCGAGCCGGCACGGATGAGGAGCATTAAATTCGCATCTGTGAAGAGCATTATCCGGCGGGAGATCAGGCGGGTGAACGCCAAGAAACGGAAGGAGAAGAAGCGGGAACGCAAGATGGACGAAATCGAGAAGCTGAAGAAAGCGAACCCGGGTATTCAGATCGATATGGAGTCGGCTCTGGCAGACTCGGAGCCCGACGAGGAGGAGGAGCCGCTGCACATTCCCGCTATACCCAATGCAATTATTTGGCTCCGCTACACCAACAGAAACACGATCTGGGTCTCGATGGCAGGATACGATGCAGGATATGTCTACGAACTGGAATTTGGTCAGGCAGAGCCAACCTACAGCACAATGATAGCGGATGCAGATGACATCGAGATCCACTCCTACTGCATCATGTAAGTGTTTCGAATCATTATCCTTTCAGGATATGTTAGACATCTTTCCATATCATTTCAACAGAGATGAGTACATTATGTTCGGAATGGTCAACGGAGGCATTCGAGTTAATCGGTTAAATCCTGATAACTTTACCGATCTCTCTGAGTACCGGATATACCCTATGCACGACTCCCTCAAAGGCATCATTCCTTGCATCCGAACCAGCTTCGATGGGGAACATATGCTCTCTGTGGGATACGACGGTAACATGTTCCTCTTCAAGTGGAATGGACCAAAGATCGTGAAAAACAGTCGTCGGGACCGTCTGCCTCCACTGCCAGAAGGCTTTCAAGCGGTGCCGGATATAGTGGACCCGGAACAGCCGTCCTTAGAGCAGGAAAAGATCAATGCAGAGCTCCGAAGGCAACAAGAGGCAGCTGAAGCCCATGACCGAGATGTTCTGAACAAGATCGGGATTCTGCAGAACGACTACTTTGATATTATTCGGCGGAATGAAGAGTTGCCGGCACCACTGAGGGCACGGGACACGGACCTGCTACTGGACAATCGCATCACTCAGCAAATCCGAGATGAACTTCAAGCAGAGCTGGACGATGTCCGCGAGGATTTGGCCTATGACCTGGAATTCGCCCAGGTGGGCCATCATAAGCTCTACAATCATTTCCTCAAAAAATTGGTATGCGTTCCCTTCACCGTCAGTCACCTGCGGTAAGTGGTCTGTTTTTTTTTTTCATTAAATATCTGGAGCACTTTTTATTTTCCGGCAGTGGCAATGAACCAGGAGTCTCTTCATTCCGTCTCGAGGAGTTGGGTGAAGAGTTCGAACAGATCAAGCGGGACATTGAGGAGCGCCTAAAAATGGAGCACGATATGGGGTATGCTTTGAGAGGTTCTAGTTTCTAGGAACCTATAAAACTGTTATAACTTAATGCAAAATTAAACACAATATACATACATATTCCAATATTTATACGAATTTTTAAAAACCAAAACATGCAGCCTTTACCGCGTGGATCGAGTTCCAGATCAACCGGAAGTGTAAGATTTAAATCTCATTAAACTTTGCACCACTTGGATCACTTCGTTAGTCCTCTTCACTAGTTACACCTATAGATAAACCAAATCCTTATTGGGAGAATCCAAAACTAACAAGCTTTTCTCCACAGACTCCATGACCTTTTAGTGACTGATGTGGTGGAGGAAACTATTGGTGAGCCTCCGCCGGAGACGTTCTTCTTTGGCCGCGATCCGCGTAGCATCGAGCCGCGCTTCAGCCGGAAGATGATGAGACTTCTGACACGATACCGAAAGCGCCAGATGTACGAAGTGCGTCGAATCTTTGACTGGGACAAACTGGAGCGACAGAAGCCAGATCCCAACCGCAATCACCCGGATGACGATGCCCAGATAGAGCTGGCCAAACGCAACCTGGGCGACTTCAAGCTCAAAGTTGGGGCAGACTACGAGCCCCGCTCCGATGAGACTCTGACTCAGAAGTACATTGAAATAGTTGAGTGTCGCGAGAAATACTTCCACATGGTAAATTCCTTCAACTCGGCTGTTTTGGAACTGCGGGATCGAAAGCGCGACCTCATGACGTTCATAAATAGTCAGCGAGATCGTCTGGCGGTGCTCCATAGCTATATGCCCGAACAGGATCGCCTCCCCCTGGATCCCATACACGAAACTGATATGGACGCAGAGTATCCGGAACTGAACCTCATAGAGCACTTTACCCCCGGCTGTGGAGTGGAGATAGACCAAATCCTTTCATTGGAGAACAGTGTGGATGATGTGATCGCCTCCCAAAAAAAAGTTGATAATCTCAGGATATCCAGCTTGTTCAGTTTGCACGGATTAGAAAAGCCCGAGCTTCACGAGGCCGCCGCCTTTACCATGCTCGAGATCTCGAAGCTGGAACGGAGTCTGCCGGCCGAGGAAATTCACGAAATGCTCAATTCTTTTCCGCCGATCTCTGAAGCGGCCTACTATGATCGGGATGAGGAAGGTAATTCCAGTTACATGAACGAGAATCGCCACAGGTGGCTTAGGCAGCTCCTGGTGGAGCAGGCGTCAATCCGGACAAACGTGGACGAGGAAGTCCAACAGTTCGACAAGGCCCTGGAAAAGTTGCAGGTGCGGCGCTTTCATGTCAAGATGGACTCCGAGTTCATGGCCTCATTCATGATTAGTCTCAACCAGGAGCTGTATATTCTCCGCGACAGTGAAGAGATCGAGACGCAGCTTCTGCAAAACGCCAAGTCGGCGATGGCCACTCGAAACGAACTGCAGGTGGTCATAAACCAAACCAACAGGCAGCTGGAGGAACTGCGTCGCAACATTGACAAGCTGGGCGAGCAGATCACTGCCCTGCAGGTGCTCTTCATGAGCACCGTCAAGGGGCACAAGTTCTTTGACTTCCTGCGTCGCATTTTCAAAAAGAAGTGGCGCCCACCTAAGGTGGCAAAGGGCGATGATGATGAGTCATCGTCGGAGTCGGAGTCCTCCTCCTCTAGCGAAGATCAGCAGGCGGACAACAAGAGTTTGGACTCCCTGGACATGACCACTATTCGACTGGACGAGACCACTTGTCCATCTGGACTGGACCGAACCCTGTACGACCTAGCCTTTCAAATGCGATCCGATCGTCATGATCTGGAACGGAATGTGCGAGACCTGCAACGCGACGTGGAAAACAAACGGAGGGAGATCGCCGAGATGCTGATCAAGATGAAGTACCATGAAGAGGTCTACCAACGTGAAAAAAATGCCCTCATGGAGTTTCGTGTAAGTTGCTTTTGTGGGTTACGATTCTTTTTGGTAACTATATCCCTGTTTCTCAGCGTCTCAGACAAAATGAAATAAATAAGGTTAAAATAAGCGTCGTCCTGAGAATGGACCAAATACAACATTTTTACGAAGGTAACGACTACAGAGACCTGTCCAAGGCTGTCCTCTTTAACGCCGACATGCTGGTGGAACTGCGCCGAAGGGCAGACCAACTACATGAGGAGACACTGGCCACCAAACGCTGGCACCGCATCAACTTCATCCATTTGCGCCGCATGAACACGGACATCAAGTTTATGCGGTTCGAGATCACTCGACTGGAGGAGGAAATACGCCAGGCCATGATGAAGAAATTCGGAATAGTGGTGAATCTGGATGAGTTGGAGGAGGAAGTTCTGAGGCGCTACATTTTTGACCTAGAGACCACTGCTGAGGATGAGCTGCGGGCATTGGAGAAAGAACTGGCCGAGAAAGAGGTTTGTTTCGAAGTTAGGGCATCCTATTCCTGGCTAATCCCTCAAGTTTCTATCTAATCCCTAGAAAGAACTTTCCCGCTGTGAAGAGGAATTTGTCCTGGAGACACAAAACAATACGGAAAAATTAAATATTATGACTGTGCTCAGGGAGGAGAAAAACATACTCTGCACTTTACTGGACATCCAGGATAAAAACATGGCCAAGTGGAGTAATCCCAACGTTCTGAATCTATCCTACGACATCGAGAAACTGATGGGCATCGAGAAATCCCTGCTGCAGCAAATCGAGGTAGGATCTTATAAAACTTTTAAAGTGTTTTCCTACAGAAACTATATATTATCCTTTCCACAGTGCCTGGAGCGGGAGATCTGTGCTCTTCGTTTGAAGTCCAAGCCCTTGCAGATTAACAGCGAGTACGAAAGGGATCCCAACGAACAGCCTCAGGTGACCACCGAACTTTTGCCCAACGACGATGCCATGATCTGTCCGGCCATCCTCAATGTGGATGCCTACATGCTGCCGCCCATGCCCGATGAGTTTATTATGGATCGCGTCCATACAATCGTCCAGAAGAGCTTCAATCGATTCTTTGGACGCAGCACTACGCCGGAGAATGTCCGCAAATTCGCCCAACGATCCTCGCTGTACCTTTGTCAAGCCGCCTACAGCTTCCAGGGACGGTACACAGATCGCATTGCCGAGTGCATTACGGAGCACCTGCAGACGATTGTGCCCAAGAAGTACTTCATCCACATCAGTGCCGAAGAGCTGCGAAAACTCTTCAATGAAGTGGTTGCCGTGTTCGACTACGAGCGCTCCGATATAAACACCGAGGAGCTGATCTCCGGTATTTTCGATCACGCAAAGGAATCAATGTGCGCCCTCGTCCCCCAGGCAGATCTCAGTGTGGTCAACCGCACCCACTTTATTGTATCGCACATGTTTAAAGAGCTGATTGAAGTACTGCCCCTGGAGGAGTTCCAGTCGGATGAGACCTGCCGCATGATCGTCGACGTTTTAGAGCGAGAGCCAATGATCGATCCACGAGCAATCGATATAGAGGATCTTATCCACAACACATTGCGACACGCCCGTGAGAATCTCCTGGACGGGATCACAGCTGTTCCAGTGCGTAAGCTGGGAAGCAATATCCAGCGGGACCTGATCAAGCGGCGTCAGTACAAGCCGCCCAGCTGCGAGTCACCCATGTCGGTGCGCATTGCCACCAAAAAGGCGCCCAACGTCAGTGGTCTCCCCTTCTAGGCTACATATCCTAATTTTTATCGAGAATTTCTTAAATTTTTCGGATGTTACTCATTTTTGGAAATAAAAAAATAATAAAAATAAAACATATAGATATATCTGGATTTTGTGAATTTTCACTAGCATAAACAATTTTATTTTTAAAATATATAAAGCTTTCGAAAAAATGCAACATATTTTTTGGAAATCGTCCTTTTTTGACAGCTTTTAACTAATTTAGGCGAGCCTTAACTTGACTAATTTTGAGCGGTAGAAGCTGCAGCATCTCACGCACCACTCCCATCTCACCATGAAGAGGTTCCGCCGCCTCCTTGTGCTGTTCACAGCCGTCTATAAACTTTTTGTAATATTCAAGACAGTTGGTTAGGTTTTCCAACTGGAGCATTGGATGAGCGCTAATCATCTTGTAATAGATCCGTCCAATGTGAAAGTGAGCGTAGAGCATGTGCTTCTGCTCCTCCACGTCCATGTTGGGACGCCACTCCTCACTCGGTGGTTTTCCTAGGTACGATTTGACGTAGCTCTCGAAGTGTTTAATGGCCTTCAGGCAGCTCTGGTTAACCTTTTTAATGTCATCTGGTGCTGGAGAGCTTTTTTCACGAACAATGTCAAGGCGAACGTCTAGAACAGCGGCATGGGCAGTGCCGGCACCATACCAGCACTCTCGGCAGATCTTTAGGTAGAAAATCGGGTCGAGAAGTTCCAGTAAGTCTTCTAGGTACTTTGCACGACGTTTCTGCATCTTAGCCTGATTTTCAGGGCTTTCTTCGAAAAAGGCAATCTGTTCATACGCCTCGGCGTAATCTTGTATTATCTTAGAGTACTCGGTGGCCTCGTTCTCGGCCTTGTAGTAGTCCTTGGCAATGTCCAGCCACTCGTTGACAAAGTGGAACACCAACTTGGCATCATCAAAAGTCAGGCAGTATTCGCAGCTAATCCGGTTCTCGCAAGCTGTGACATCCAAGTTTGGAAAACGGGACTTCTGTGCCTCGGCAAGTTGAAGAAGGCGTAAGGCCTTCTCCAGGCGCTTGGAATCCTCATTTTCATCCCTAAGCAGACGCAACTTAGAGGTTTGCAAAAGATATAGCCCATACTTTGCCCAGCAACGCGCTACATCGGCATATCGATGCTTGAAGGTCTCGGCCACCTCCTGACGTTGATGATCGCTCATTTCCGGCTTAAACATATGCTCCTCGTACTCGGCCATAATGAGGGTGGCCGCTGCCAGGTGGTGACGTGCCTCACGGAAGCGCTCCTCTCCAATATAGAACTGCGAAAGTGTTGCTGTATTTAAAGCAAAATCAATAGCATCATAAGACTTGAATTGAAGTTGGCGGTGGAGTGTGCTGTGGCAGCAACTGGCTGACTTCTCCGGATCGCCTAAATGCCCGTACATTTGGGCAAGATAAAAACAAACAAGTGTGTACAGAGATTCGAGCTCATTGGTGCCAGCGGTTTCTGTATCCAGTCCCTCCTCAGGAGGATTGAAAATATCAGATATGGCCAATGGTGTGAAGCCGCTAGCTTTAAATTCTTCGTATCCCTTTTCAGCCTCAAGGAGCATGTCCAGAGCCTCCTGAAACTTTTCTTTGGTTCCCAGCACAATACTTAATTCGTTGATGGCTCCTACATATGGAATAATGCCCACTGATTTCTTCTTCAGGGGCGTGACGAGATCCAGGCATTGCTTTAAGAACTTCTCACCTTCCGGCTGCTCCTCTGTGTAAACATAAATGCGACCGAGATCGCGGCAAACGAACGCCAACAAGGAACGATAGCAAAGGTCATCCTGGCCACCATCATCTTCACAAGCCTGAACAGATACCAGCTGGTCTTCCAGCTGTTTTTTCAAATCATGGAGCACATCGCGCGCCTTGTAATGGGATCGAAACGGATCAGTGGACGGGTCACTGCGGCTTTCCTCCTCGACCAGCCGGTTGGCCTTTTCATATTGCTCCTTGATGTCGCTTAGAATCTCCTTTGCGATAACCATATTTACTGAGAGTGTTTGGAAGAGTGAAGTTTCATTCAAAAGGTTTCGTATAGGTTGCTTGTTATTTACATTTTTCAGATATCTCGTTCCAAACCTGTCATCGCTCTTCTATACTGTGTGGCCGTTTGATAAAAACAAAAGTGTCAAAAAAAGACTAGAACAACAAAGAATTTATAATTAAAAATATATAAACTTTATTGTGTAAAATATGAAAATTTATGTTAGATTAAAACGCCCCAGAATTGTACAAAGCGATTCTGAAAACCTTTAAGGATATATTTTTTCATTCTTTAGACTTTCAAAACATTTACCATATTTATATTATCTTTAACTATAGAAATAATAAAAGTTAAATTTTTTTAAAATAAATAATTAACTATTATAAATCTAAAAAGGTTTAAAAAATAAACTCTCAACTAAAAGATGTAAGTTTAATTTCGGTGAGTGTTTGAAAACAAAAATACCAAAAGGGATTGACAATCTTTTAACCGTGTTTTCCAGCACTGCCGTTCTATTATGGTATATATACAAATTTGGTATTATTACTAATCATTGTACGGTCACATCGTATTGAATTTTAGATTTTTTCGAGTTGCGTCGCCTTGTTTTTTCGGTTTATACCAAAATAATTACTAAAATAAAATACGGTACTAATTTTGGCGGTCAGATTTCAAAGGATCTAAAGACAATTCTGATCCTCAGCAAACATGAAAGCTTTTAAAATTAAACAAGAACCCAAAATCAAGAAAGAGTTCTTGCAAGATAAGTCCGTGCGGCGACAGTACCACCAGCGTTACCGCTCAGAGTGGGAGAAGTTCCCCTCGTTTTCACACTGGCTTCAGCCCAGCCACGATGGTTACTCAGCTCACTGCAAGATTTGTGACGTGAATGTCCTTGCCAGGCTGGCATCCATCAAGCAGCATCATATTACACGAAAGCATCAAGAGGCTATGAAATGCAATGATTTTTTATGCAAGGTGAGACAGGTTATTCCATAACAATAGTCCATTTTCATTCAAAACAAACAAATTGTTATTCACCCCTATAACCTTGTTAGTTTCTTCATTAATCCTGATTATGTTTTTACAAAATTGCATTTAAAATAAAAACTTTCTTCTTATCTATATTCAAATTTCTGTTAATTTCTGCATGGTATATACCAGGGGTCAAACAAGATTTAAATTTTATGATTTAAATACTGCAATTGCAATAAATATTACTTGGGGGCATATATAAAAATACCAATCATGTAATTGAAACTTTTATTTTATTACAGAACTTAATTAAAGAAGAATTGGATGCGGTAATGCAGCTGCCTGAGAATACAAGAGCTTATACGACCAAGGGAAGCTCTAAGACGAAGACAAAGCCCAAAGCAAAGCCAAAGATCAAGACAGAGAAACATGAAGACCAAGTGGTCGATGAAGATCTGGCCTCAAACGATTCAATGTTAGACGACTTGCTAGGCGGTGAGCCTCTGGAGACAAAGTACATTCCAGAGGATGTTCTAATGGACGAAAACCTGGAACAGGAGGCACACATAGAAGAAGAAGTCTATGAAGAAATAAACAATAAGCAGGAACACGAAATTCACGATGAGTTTAACGAGGATCTACTATCTGAGGAAAACGTGATTAGCGAATTCGATCTGTTCGGCAAGAGCGTTGCACTTCAGCTAAATAATATGAGGCTGGAGGACGCGTTGATGTGCCAAGAGCGGCTACAAGTGGTACTCACAGAGTTCCGCCTTAAAATCCTTAAACGCAAGAGAGACGCAAAACGAGGATTTTAATCTTACTGTTTATATCAAGTGTTGTCTTATGTACATTATCCTTCTATGTTTTAAATAAAATAACTACTCTGCTTCTATTTCGTCAATAAATGATCGGCACTTTTGTTTTAGTACTTTGACGGCTTCCAGGAAGATTACCTCAGGCTTGAGGGCTCCCACTGACTCCACGGTGAAGATGTAGTGGTCTCGAACGCGGGCCAAGGTTACCGAGTCGTTTATTTGCGGATATCGGTATACGTTGCGGCTGCAGCTGTCGTATCGCGCATCCTTAACGTAAGCGCACTCATTCTCGTCAATACCGATCACTCCTGGCGAAAAGCAGCTCTGCAGCAGGTAAGCATCCTTGCCAGAGACCTCGCGGTTAAGTTTAATTTGCGGTAGTAAGCGGTATGTAGCTGTGGCAACCGGCGAGAACTTGGCATGATCTCGTCCAAGACCCTTAACCGCAACAAGACGTAGGTCCAACTCGTGTCCAGGTCGTAGCTGAGCAATAAGTATGTCATCGTGAATGCAACCCACACCCGTCTCGGTGTGTATCTGCGCCTGCTTGCCTTTTGGCAGCCACTTTAGGTGACCAGAGTATACCTTATGATTCTTGTAGATGTCATCAAAGTTTGATTGATCTTTGCCTGCATCCTTGCGCCGCGTACACTTCACCTTTAGCTCAAATTCCAGAGTGTCTTGCTCTGTTCCAGTCTCGCTACTCTCCTCCGTACGATAAGCGAATAAGCGGGGATCGGCCCGCAGGGGGAGTAGTCCCATTCGATGTGCCAGCACCTCATCCTGGATGATAGAAGTGTTATTGTAGATGTAGACCTTCTCAATAGCCATGCTGGGAACATCACTAAGCATCAGTCGTCGGAAGGCGTTAGCAATTGCAGGATAAACGCCGATCAGATCGAACTCCAACCCATCCTCGTCGTTCCTATAGGATACTCATGTTAAATCCAAAGAAAAAATTTAAATCGAATGAATAAACAAACCTAACGATAGCTATTTGAAGCTTGCTTTTAAACACCTCCATGTTGAACACCTCGTCGGCCAGACCATAGTCCTGCGGATCCTGTTTGACACGGTATTCTTCCATGTACAGCAAAGGCTGCTTTCGCCTTGAAGTTGACATTTTTATAAATATTTCTCAGTAAATAATCAAAAACCAAATCGTTGACCAGCACGTGTTGGAATCGAAAACCAAAGTGGAACTCATAACAATTTCATCACAAGTTGGCAGCACTGGTCGAGGTTTACAGTGACTGGCACGAGAAAAAGAAGCAGCAGGTCACCGGCGATATTTCAGTTCTCCAGAAGATTTACGTAAAACCTTAAAACTCCAGAAACTCTGACAAAGAATGTCCCGCTCCTTGCAACGTCTGTTGGGCGGCTGTCGTCGCTGGGCACAGCAACCGGTGGCACGTCACTTAGCCACTCCTGCAGATTCCACAAAAGGAAAAGGTCCCATCTCTTGGAAAAGTCTAGCGGTGATCGGAACTCTGGGTGCCGGCGGATTAGGTTTTATGCTTTACGTCAAAAGTGAGAAGGACGAAGCACGGATGAGGGAGCGAAAGCGTCAGCTGGGAAAGGCGGCAATTGGAGGAAAGTGGGAGCTGGTGGACTCTCAAGGTGCAGTGCGGAAATCCGAAGACTTCCTGGGGAAGTGGCTTCTCATATATTTCGGCTTCACCCACTGTCCTGATATTTGCCCCGACGAGCTGGAGAAAATGGCTGCCGTAGTGGACGAAGTTGGTGCGTTCATTAAAAAAACATATAAAACTCAAAACAATATCTAATCTTCGTAATCTTTTACAGAGAAATCCCCACAAACACCGGCTATACAGCCCATATTCATAACTGTGGACCCTGAGCGCGATTCAAAGGAGGTGGTGGGAAAATATGTAAAGGAGTTCTCCCCCAAGCTCCTAGGTCTCACGGGTACAGTGGACCAAATTCGTAATGTGTGCAAGGCCTTCCGGGTCTACTTCAGCTCCGGGCCGCGAGATGAGGACAACGACTACATTGTAGATCACACCATTATCATGTATTTAGTCAATCCGGACGGAGAATTTGTTGACTACTATGGACAAAATCGGGACAAGGACCAGTGCGTGGCCTCCATTATGGTCAACATTGCCAAGTGGAACTCGTTAAACAAAAAAGGCTGGTTCAGTTAGACGTGTTTAAATTCACAAAAGTTGTTTCGTTGTAATTTATATTTACCTATAACGTCTAACGTATAGAAAAAATTAAATAACATATTTAAATTTTTTATTGGGTCAAGTTGGCATTGCCTTGGGATTCATCGTTTTTCATTGCGCCAAGTTGGCAGCTCTTTTCGCGTGTGCTGCTGCGTGGATGTTGCAAAAATAATTGTTTTCTCGCAACAAATAACAACTAAATACAACATGGTGCGTTCCCAACGAAGTGTCTTATATTTTAAATACATAATAAATGAATCGCCGTGAAAATAAACCGAAACTAAGCGATTCAGCCGGTTAAAAAACGTTGCAGAAATTCTCCGCTAAACATAACCTTAAAAGCGGTTTCTATTTTCGAAATCATTTAATTTATTTGTTTTTTTTTATTGTAGCGTCCTTTGATGCTTCAGGGCCACGAGCGTTCCATCACGCAAATCAAGTACAACCGCGAGGGCGACCTGCTCTTCTCCTGCTCCAAGGATCAGAAGCCTAATGTCTGGTACTCTCTCAATGGGGAGCGTCTGGGCACATACGATGGCCACCAGGGTGCCGTTTGGTGCTTGGATGTGGACTGGGAGAGCCGAAAGCTGATTACAGGCGCCGGTGACATGACCACGAAAATCTGGGACGTGGAATACGGTACCATTATCGCCTCAATCCCATCCAAATCGTCGGTGCGTACCAGCAACTTCAGCTTCTCGGGTAACCAGGCCGCCTACTCCACGGACAAGGCGATGGGACAAAGTTGTGAGCTGTTTATTATTGACGTTCGCAATGCCGACTCGTCCCTGGCTGAACAGGCACCTACACTACGTATCCCCATGACGGAATCCAAGATTACCTCAATGCTTTGGGGACCCTTGGACGAGACAATCATCACGGGTAAGTTCTTGAAATAGTATTCCAATCATATATTTCAATCATTAATATATTTTAGGTCACGATAACGGAAATATTGCTATCTGGGACATCCGTAAGGGACAGAAAGTTGTCGACTCTGGCAGTGACCACACCGCTGGAATTAACGACATGCAGTTGAGCAAGGATGGCACCATGTTTGTGACTGCCTCCAAGGACACCACTGCAAAGCTCTTCGACTCCGAGTCCCTCATGTGCCTGAAGACCTATAAGACGGAGCGTCCAGTAAACTCTGCCGCCATCAGCCCCATTCTAGACCATGTGGTTTTGGGCGGTGGCCAGGATGCTATGGAGGTGACCACTACTTCAACGAAGGCTGGCAAGTTCGACTCTCGCTTCTTCCATCTGATCTACGAGGAGGAGTTCGCTCGTTTGAAGGGCCATTTCGGTCCCATCAACAGTTTGGCCTTCCATCCCGACGGCAAGAGTTACGCCTCTGGCGGAGAAGACGGTTTCGTGCGTGTCCAGACATTCGATAGTACATACTTTGAAAACATCTTTGAGTAGTCCATATCCATATAGTCTGTATTAAAAAGCCAGGCCAGTGAAGATTGCACCCGTTTCTTGGGATTCGTTCACTGGCTACAAAAATGTTCGTGAGCTTAGGGAACTTTCAAATATACGCGAGAACGAAACGAAACGCATGTCATTTTTGATTGGATAACATTAAAGGGTAACAATATATTATATTCGAGAAAATAGAATGCTTGTGGAATTTTAAAAGAAGGAACGTTTCTTCTGTTTGACTGCGACCTGCTGGCCCTGCATTGCAGCCCACTGAGCCGGCGTCGGCAGGTATCCCGGCGGCGGCGGAGGAATAACTATAGTTTTTCCCACTTCAGCCCGCGAATCCAGATTAAGAACCAGAGGGGGGCCAGAGGTACCAGCTGCAGCTGAAGTGCTGGGTCCATATCCCGCTCCATAGGCCATTCCGTTAAGCGTAGGCTGTTGCTGGTGATGACTTATCATACCGTAATACTGATTATGTGTAGGTGGAGCAGGTCCTTGGTGAGTGTATCCTGCGGCGCCACCACTCCTTTGGCTCTCCTCATAAGATGGCGGCGGTGCACGCTGAAAGTATCCATATTTTAAATAGAATTTATTTTTCTCGACTTTAATTGATTCTTACCATAGCCATTTCATCCTTAGAGGCCACTTCATATGGGGGAGCAGATCCTCCGCTTGATAGAGAAGATTTTTGGGGGTTCGACATGGTATTTCGTTTTTCCGTCTTTGTTTTCCGCTTTGTTTACTTGAAACAACTGTGAATCACTATTCAGTGTTATCAGCAGGAAGAACAGCCATTTGGCTTTTTCTCGTTAAATATTTTTTGTTGATTAAAAATATGTTTTGGTTTTTAGGAAAAGAAGATCTTAAAGTTATTCATATTTTAACTAAATTATAGCAAATATTTGGTTTATTTATTTATGAAAAATTATTCCTAATATGTATACAGTCGTTTAATAAGTAGTATCCATCCCATTACTTTAGTAAATCTTGAATAATTTTTTATAATGTTAAATAATTTTGTGTATATTTTTAATATTTGAGCATCTCTACCATAAACTATCGTGAATGAGCTGCCAACTCTGGTGGCGGACCATTCACTCCAAACCAGCTGATTCTTCCAATCGGGAAGAAGAAGAGCGGCGTGATAATTTTGTTGGTCTGACCAAAATCAAGGAAATTATTGTTAAATTGCCTCGTAAAGACTGTCACCAGTAGTTTTTAGCTAATAGAACCCGAGATCTGATAAGTGGTTCCTTCCAAAATGGCTCATGCCACTCCGCAGGTGAGTTTGTGCACAAAACCATTGCTAGAGGCATTGCTGTGACGCAATAGCTTTACCAGCTTTTGCAAGAAATCGAATAACAAATGTTTAAATTGTCCTACAGGGCGTTAAGTTTCTGAACGGATGGAAACGTCCGGGCCGGTTTGACAAGGGACTGGGTGCCCAACTGCCCGAGGCGTACCGCAAGTTCTGGCGCGAATGGAAGCTTACGACTCCGGCTGCCGTTCACTACATCCCCAAGGACCAGGAATGGCAGCGGGATGAGGTGACGCACGCCATTATACCTGTGCAGAATATTCCACTGCCACTAATTGACACGCCGGAATCGCACCAAGGCATCTGGGGCGGTGAAGCTGTCATCAAGGGATTTCAAAAGCGCCAACAAACGAAACGTCGTGTCCCTCACTTTTGGGTACCGAATTTGAGACGCTCTGTTGTCCATAGCCATGTTTTAGATTCCTACATGTCCGTAGTGGTTACGGAGCGAACGTTGGAACAGATCCATGAGTGCCACGGATTCGATCACTACCTCCTCAAGAACAGGGCTTGCGATCTTCGCTCCGCCCTGGCCTTGAAGCTTAAACGCGAAGTACTGCAGGCTCTGCAGAAGGGTGTTCCGGCGCTGGCGGATGAGCCCGACCGTCAGCAGGAGGTGCTCAAAGAATACGGAAGGTATTTGGAGCCGTATACGGCCGAGGAAATCGACTGGTACGGCCACACTTACCTCGAGGCCATCCGTAAGCTGCAGAAGCAGCTGCGCGAAGCTGAGAAAGTCAAGCCTCACAAGGTGGAATTCCGCAGCAAGCTCATTGAGCAGTTGCGGCAGGCGGGTATTAGTGAGGCTGGAAAGCTGGAGCAGACGGATTCACAAGCAGGATCCTCCGTAGAGCATAAGGATGCGGATATTGAGGCATTAACAAAGCTGTAAGTATAAAAACCTACATTTCTTCAGAAAGATAAAGGAATGCTGATTTCTCAATCATTTCAGGGAATCTTCGCCGTCCTCCAGTTGGCTCTCCAAGATCAATCCTTTTGGCAAAAAAGAGACCTAGGTCAGTTGCTCTCGTTTTGTTTTTGATTTGTGTTTAGCCTTGAATAAAAAAGAAACCATTTCCGAAATGTATCGACCTTATTATTCTGTAGTTTACACTTTAAACGTATTTATTGAAAATATTCGTTAGAATGGTGAATTTTTATAAAAACAATTAAGATTACACTGAAAACGTACGCTCAAAGTAGAAAAGGAATGATTGCAAAATCCCAGATAATACAGAAATACACATACAATACATACACACACGATGGAATCCAGATCCAGGTCCACTTTAAAGGCTTACGACTATATTTAAATGATAGCTCTGGAAGCGGTAAGAGAGCTTTGTGCCGTTTTTGTCACCATTCTGGCAGGCATTCCCTATGCAATGGGGTTCTTTTTCATTAGCTCGATGTCGGCCTGCATCATGTCCTTGACCAATTCTGAGAAGCTCACCTTGGGCGTCCAGTTGAGCTCCCGCTTGGCCTTTGACGCGTCACCAAGCAAAAGATCCACCTCAGTGGGGCGGAAATACTTTGGATTAATACGCACACGAACAATGCCGGTGCTGGCCTCTATGCCCACTTCATCTACACCCTTTCCCTGCCACGATATCTCGCGTCCAATATGTTTGAACGCCGCTTCCACAAACTCGCGCACACTGTGCGTTTCTCCAGTGGCGATAACATAGTCAGAGGGCGAATCACGCTGCAACATCATCCACATGGCCTCTACGTAATCGCTAGCATGTCCCCAGTCGCGCTTAGAGTCTAGATTTCCCAGCTCAAAATACTCCATTTGGTTGAGTAAAATTTTAGCAACGCTTCGAGTAATTTTTCTAGTGACAAAGTTCTCTCCACGTCGCGGGCTTTCGTGGTTGAAGAGGATGCCATTACAGGCATACATGTTGTAGGCCTCACGGTAGTTAATAACGATCCAAAACCCATACATCTTTGCGCAAGCTATGAAGGAAACAACTAGTTAGTTAAAAATTTTAGTTAATTAAACCACCTCACCATAAGGAGACCTTGGATAAAAGGGCGTTTGTTCGTTCTGGGGCGTCTCCACAACTTTGCCGTACAACTCTGACGTGGAGGCCTGGTAGAACCTAACGTTCTTCTCCATGCCACAAGTACGAATGGCATCCAGAATTCGCAATGTACCCACGGCGTCTACTTCCGCCGTATATTCGCTCAAGTCAAAGGATACCTTTACATGCGATTGTGCTGCCAAATTGTAGATTTCTGTCGGTTTCACCGTGTTGATGATCTTCACCAGGCTACTGCTGTCGGTCATGTCGCCATAGTGGAGCTTCATTCGACCCCCCTTGTGCGCCTTGGGATCCGCATACAAGTGTTCAATACGGGTGGTGTTAAAAGTGCTAGCCCGCCGTATAATACCGTGCACTTCGTAGTCCTTTTTGAGTAGAAACTCCGCCAAATAGGATCCATCCTGGTGAATCATGCAAAGATAGAAACATTAAAACTGGTGACACGTAGGAAGGACACGTAAACAAGGGATGGGTAGATTTATCATTGGTTCATCAAATAAAACGACAACCGTGACTAATCCATTTACATTCGTTTACACACCTGGCCCGTTATGCCGGTTATCAGCGCTACTTTATCACGGGGTCCACCTGCGTCTCCGGAACCTGCCGAATTTCCATTCTGCTCTTTACTTCCATTGCTGCTGCTGTCCGTGCGAAGTTTTTTGCTTTCCGTGGCCCCATCGCTGGTCGACATGTTAATGAGAGTTTAAGTGAAATACAAATCCAAATATGTGGTTTTTGAGTCGATGTTGCCGGGGAGGGTAGATTGTTATTGTTAATTAGAGTTTTAGTATATAAATGGTATATCCGAAATGGTATATACGCCCTGTGTGACCGCACGACCTCACGAGGATGGTATTTCCGTTGCAGAGTCATCCGGTCATACTGGGGCAACAAAATGAAATGTAAAGTGAAGCAAAATCGTAAATATTAGGAAATTTGGCCATTCGGAAGCCCCGAGAGCTTGTTGAGTTGCGAGGCAGACACGAATTAAATTGCATTTAACCTCGTAGTCGAGAAGATACCAAATACTCAAGCCTGGAGCCGGCTGGACGAGAAGAAAAAAGTGAAAACTACAGCTGCCTCTTACCCGAGTTAGACCCGCGATTGGTGCCATGTCAGCTCCGCTGGCCAGAAATTGGCCGTATATATGGCAACAGCTGAACGCCCTGCTCCATAACACGTCCCCGGTCATCACACTAATATGCGTGGTGACCACCTTCGGCTACCTGCTTTCCTTCTCGGAGACCGCCATCCTGCTTCTGAGCGTCACGCCCGGTTACATCCTGCCCAACGGCAAGTTCTGGATATGGACCGCCTTCACGTTCTGCTTCATCGAGCTGCACTGGTGGGAGGTGGCTGTCGACGTGGTGACCGTGGGTCTATGCGGAAAGATGCTGGAGCCGTTGTGGGGGCAGCTGGAGATGTTCAAGTTCTTCGCCTTGAGCAATTTTGGGGTGTCGTTGCTGACAACCATTTACTACCTTTTCTACTACATGGTAACCAAAAATCCGACTATACTCTTCGACGTTCACATTCATGGATTGGCTGGATACGTGGCCGGCATTTGTGTTGCTGTACGTCAGATAATGCCCGATCACCTGATCTTCAAGACACGCTACGGACGTTTGACCAACAGGTAAGATTCTTGAAAAAAAGTATAAACCTTTTTTCTGTTCTAAAAATACAGTTCTAATATTCAATTATCATTTTAGAAACGTTCCTCTCACGGTTTTGATTATGGCCATTATCTCATGGGCTGTTGGTCTATTGGACGGCACATATCCGGCCATGTTTGCTTCCGGATCTTTGGTCTCTTGGATCTATTTACGTTTCTACCAACACCATCCAAATGGGCGAGGGGACAGCTCAGAAAGCTTCACATTTGTCAGCTTCTTCCCGAATGTGACGCAGCCGTTTATCAGCGTTCTGGTTAATCCCATTTATAATTGCTGCTTGCGGGCGGGCGTGGTAAAGACGCCCACGCCGCTCCGAACGATATCCACTTCCAGCTTGTCGTCAATATCCGTACAAATGCCGGGAGTAGATCCGCACGATATTGAGCGTAGGCGGTAAGTGAATAAAAATAATTGCAATAACTCGGTGATTACCATAATGTTATTTTTAGACAAATCGCATTGAAGGCTCTGAGTGAACGTCTTAAGGCTACAGACTCCACCAAGCATACGCAGCTTCCCAAGTCTTTTCCGCAGCAGCAGCAGTTGCAGCATCATTCGCAACACCATCATTCGCCCCACCAGCAGCACAAGCACCAAGGTCACAGTCATAGCCACGGTGCAGGACATAGTCATAGCCACGGTGCTGGGCATAGTCATAGCCACGGAGGCGGACATGGTCATAGTCACGGGCCTGGGCCCGTTCAGACACCGCAGCCTGATTTCCTGAAGCCCACCAGCAGCTCCGGACAGCTGCCCATCACAACGGCACGAGCGGAGCCGCGCATGATCAGCACCATGAGTCCAATCGCAATACCAATGCCGGCGCCACCGCCTAAGGAAGGAACCGGTTCGGCATCGTCGGCCGGAGCCGAAGCAACACTTATTAATCTAGACGACGTCCCTTCCACGTCCTCGACGGCCTAGACAGTGATTTTTTTCAAAACATAAATTAATATTTTGATATTTAAACGAATGATCCAATGATTTAAGCCCCGTTTTTTTGTATGGTTCTCCAAAAAGTATGTTAGCTTGACCACCTTGTAATTACCGTTCGTGTGTTTTGTAGTGTCCTGTAGATTTGCTTGCTTGCTGCGCACATCGCCGGCCGTTATCTTTACAAACAATGAATTAATAACGAGAAAGAATACCTTCCAGGCGAAATGTAGAGTCTTTACAATATGTAGATGCATACTTTCTGTTGTAGTCCTTACATTTAAATGAAAATAATGCTTTATTTAGTTGATAACTGTAAATATATTTAAAAAGCTAAAATTATTTTGTGTTTGATGTATGGTTGCATTTAAGCATTTATAAATAAATTAAAATTTATTATTTTGAAATGATAAAGTTTTCAAAAAGTGGTCTAACAGTTATTTTCAGTGTTCAAAAACGTTATAAGGGAAACATGAAACGCGTTAGGCATAACCCACAATCGACTACCCTCTGGCCGCACTGCGTCGTGTTATTGATTGTGCAGTGTATTATTTTGTTTAGTTTGTTTACCGACTGCCAGCTTCATTTGATCTAAATTAAAGCCACGTGTACTTTACCAAATCACCCATAAGGGCAAAAACGATGCTGCCATAGATAGTAGAAAAAAGGGAGAGCTGTGAAATAAAAAACTTGATCAGGAGACGGTTACAGGGTGTCTCTTCGGATATGGGTCGCCACAATTACAATTCCCATCAGCAGACAAATGTGCGGCGCCACCGAAACGGTTAGTAATGCGTTAACTAAAAGCCTCCAAAAGCAAAAATCCGGGCACTGCGATTGATAAGAAAAAGAAGGCAAATGACTGCGATAAGGAGTGGCAGCGGAAAAGCACAAACACACCAAAAGCGCACACATATATGCGCCAGTGTATGTAAACAATGTATTTGTTATCGCAGTTTCGTTCCGTTTTGGCTTTTTTATGGTTTTTTGCTGTTTTAACATATTTGCAGCTTTGTGGCAAAAACAAAAACTAAACAAACCGGCCTAGCATGGAATTTGTATATAACTTTTGCTTTTTCGTCAATTCTTGACTTATTTAAATGCCATAACCTTTCCAACAACCCACCCGTATAACCCACTTAACTAGTTTGTAAGCCCCAATGGGAACTCGTTTATCAGGAACTGGACTAAAATTGTATATAATATATATATAAGACATACCTGTAAATGTATAACTATATATGTATAAAGGAGGGACCGCCCTTAAGTGTTTCCTTGTTTCTGTGGACTATGTGGAGCAACCGCTTACTTTCACAAAACCAAGTCTCAGGGTCGTTTGGATTCGGTTTCGATTTTGATATTTTGCTTTGCATTTGCAACACGCAAATATGCCCCGCAGCTTTTTCAGCGATGGCTATTGCTGCAGTCCCCCAGTCCGAGTAGCGTCCACAACAAAGTCGAGTAATCAAGCGAAGCAACAAGTTTAGGATTCGACTTGGCGATACCCTTATGAATGAGTACCTAGTCGTTTGATTGATAAGCAAATAATGGAATTCCCCCTTACACGTATCAATTCCCGCTAAAAATCATTATCAAGTGATTCAGGTACCCAGTCTCGAAGATGCTTGGAACTAAAGATGTTTTTAAAATAATTAGAATTACTGATATTTCAGAGACCTCCACTTTTGGTAGAGTATCCCCCAAACAACTGGCATGGCCATGTTAATATGCGCCTGCAAAATACGTTAAGAGAAACACACTCGTACACACACTTGCACCCGAAAAACATACCCATATAACCAGCGCACGAGCGACTGCCATTCCACGACAGACAGACTGACGGACAGAGACAGATGGAGGAGGCGAAGACAGCGACGGCAGCTCCACTTGGAGCAAGAAAAACCACTGAGGGCGATCGCTGGCGCTCAGTTGAGCTTTGGTAACCACGTATAACGGTTCGCAATCAAATAAAAAAGCGTTGTCATTTTATCGCGCTCGCCAAATATCAGTAGTCAGTAGCGTTTGAGAAAAGTACATACATCCACACACCTGGGGAGCCTGGAGAGGAACTCCATTAGCTAAATAAACAACTCATACTTTGTTCTTTCGAAAACTTTCAGCTGGCGGTGCCACATCCAAGTCCACGATAGCAACAAAGCCTTCGCTCAGTATGACGGACTACCTGACGCTGCACTCGCGCCTCGCCCAGGTGGGCCAGGAGCATCTACTCAAGTTCTGGCCGGAGCTAACAAACGACGAACGCATCCAGCTGGTGCAGGACATCGAGGAGCTGAATCTGGACGAGATCAAGAAGTACTTCGACCGGGCCACCGTCTCAATGAACGAGAACGGCATCAAGCTGGATGATCGCCTGCAGCCGCTGCCGGAGGGCAAGCTGATTTCCATTGCTCGATCCCCGGAGGAGAAGCTATCGGCCTACAGGGATGAGGGACTTCGGCAGATCAGTCAGGGACACGTCGCTGTGCTGCTTATGGCAGGTGGACAAGGTATGTTGTATAATTTTGGGGGAAATCCGCAAAGACACACTTGTGTTTGGATAGAAACTTATGGGTTTCTTGAGCAAGAAAATTATTCATTTTTTTAAAAAAAAGTATCTCAAGGGTATAACTATCTTTTCTGCATGTTTACGGGTTGTTTTTGTGCACTTCGATACATGTGTATATATATCCGTATATTTGGCTTGTACCCTATCTGTTTGCTTTCATATAAAGTGAGATATTTTTATCATTCCACAATCACTCGCCCACAACTATAAACTGAAATGAAGCAACACACAACTTCAGCAAATCATTTGATTTGGGTTTGTGTGTGTGTTCCTTGATGAAAAACCTAATTAACTTGATATAAAAAATGCTCCACCACACAAACCATCTCAATCTGCTGCCCACTCATGCAGCTGCACTGGAATTGTAATTGTAATTGTAATTGTAATTGTAATTCCGTGTGCAAGACAAAAAAAAAAAAACAAAAGAAAAGATACAATAAATAAGTAAATAAAACCCGCCAAGCCAGTAGCAATTTTAAGCCATTCTTATGGGCAGGCGTTGCCTTTCGCTGCCTGCTTGGGCAGTGCTCTTTCAAGACGGCATTTGACATTTCCTTGCCGCTCCACGAGCCACAGATTGGTGGGTGCAGTCCACTCACGTAATTGCCTTAACGGAAAATAAAACAAAACAAATGTAAGTTGGGGGCAGGGCAATAAAATCTCTTCGTTTCGAGTTGTATTTCTATCACGTTTTTGTTACAGAGTGTACTTAGATAGTGGCACAATTCCTAAGAACTTAGGGTTTAGAGTGGGCGATTCTCTTCCGAGCCGATAAGCGTTATATTGAACATATACCTACCTTAGCTGATAATTAAAAACCGGTAGTAGTTGGTCCGACCTTAAGCCAAGCCGCTTATGAATGTTTAAATGGGCGCGGACAAAAGCCGAAATACGTAAGAGCGGAACAATGGTCGAAAAAAGAAACATGTTTTTAAGGCCAACCGGGTGGGAAATCAAAAAATGTTGCAGTTCTTGTTAATGAATGATTAATCGTTTCAGAGATGCGGGTAGAGTATATGTTTTAAGATAACATTTTTTTAGCAAAATGACTTTTTATTAAAAATCTCTTAATTTATAGGCACACGACTTGGTTTCGATCATCCAAAGGGTATGTACGACGTGGGACTACAGTCCAAGAAGACTCTATTCCGCATCCAGGCCGAGCGCATTCTTAGGCTGGAGGAGCTGGCTCACCATGCCACCGGTCAACGTGGCTACATCACCTGGTACATCATGACGTCGGAGCACACCGTGCAACCAACTGAAGACTACTTTGTTGCCCACAACTACTTCGGCCTGAAGGCAGAGAACGTGCTGCTGTTTGAACAGGGATCGCTACCGTGCTTCGAATACGATGGACGCATCATTTTGGACGAGAAGCATCGTGTGGCGCGTGCACCAGACGGCAACGGAGGCATCTACCGGGCGATGAAGCGCCAGGGCATACTCGACGACATGCAGAAGCGTGGTGTACTCTACCTACACGCCCACAGCGTTGACAATATCCTGATCAAGGTGGCCGATCCAGTTTTCATTGGTTACTGTGTCCAGGAGAAGGCCGATTGTGCCGCCAAGGTGGTGGAGAAGGCGTCGCCCAATGAGGCCGTGGGCGTAGTGGCCATCGTAGATGGCAAGTACCAGGTGGTGGAGTATAGTGAAATATCGGCCAAGACGGCCGAGATGCGCAACTCCGACGGACGATTGACCTTTAGTGCCGGAAATATATGTAACCACTTCTTTAGCGCCAACTTCCTTCAGAAGATCGGCAACACATTTGAGCAGGAGCTGAAGCTGCACGTGGCCAAAAAGAAGATTCCCTTTGTTGACAATGCCGGCAAGCGTTTGACGCCCGAAAAGCCAAATGGCATTAAAATTGAAAAGTTTGTGTTCGACGTATTCGAGTTCGCACAGAAATTTGTGGCCATGGAGGTGCCTCGCGACGAAGAGTTTAGTGCTCTGAAAAACGCTGACAACGCTGGAAAGGATTGCCCCAGTACAGCCCGGCAGGACCTTCATAGGCTGCACAAGAAGTATATTGAAAGTGCCGGCGGCATCGTGCACGGAGACATCTGCGAAATCTCTCCGTTCGTCACCTATGCCGGCGAGAATCTCGCCTCGCAGGTCGAGGGCAAGTCGTTCAGCAGTCCCGTCTACCTACGGGACACCCGCGATCCCCCGCACGGGCACCTTTAATAAACTAGGATGCAGTGCCGCCACATAGACTGATGGAGGACGGATAGTAGTTGATTTGATTATTTGTAAATTTAACGTTTTCCGTTTTGAGTGTTATGATTCCCACACCATAGGTAGAGCACGGAAATTCCATTGATTTCAGTACTTAAAGGAGACTTGTAAAAATTTGTTACCTATTGTGTCCGTTGTTTTTTTCGTTTTTGGCAATAATTGTGCAATCATAATGTGAATATATACAATATATATAGAATAATATAAATATTTTAATATGTTGTAAAATACAAAATTATAAGTATAATCAAACGAGTTGTTTTTCATTTCTTTGTAATCAAGGCACAAGAAAAGGTAAATAATAACCAATCCCATATGTGGACAGGTGCCAATGTATATTTACAAGGCTTTTGAGTCGATATCAGTTTTTATATGTTTATATTTGAGCGAAAAGTGGGGGATTTTATTCTTTATTCTTTAGAACAGACCTCTTAGCTATCCTATTTTATTTAAGTACTTATAGCCTTTGCAAAAAGTTATACTATTCTACTAGATTGTCACAAAGGAAGTTTTACTGTAAAGTAAAGGAGTACACATTATTATATCACTTATTTTAAATTGAATCACTTTAGTTCAAAAGCTTTTGAAATTTTAAATTTCCCGCTTAGTTTATCTTAAATGGCAACACCAACAGGTGGCAACACTATTTCAAACTTAAATCCTCCTCTTAAACTTGGCCACACTGCGTCGAATTAGAACGGGCAGCTGGTCGGCGTAAAAATTTTTTGTTAATCAATAGCAATTAGATAATAAGTGAAATTATGCTTAGACAACTGACACGGTCACTGCGCCTGACCTCGCGCGCATTCACGCATTTCAACTATGGCACAGATTCCACGGCTGGACAGATTCCGGTGACCCAGGCCCTGGTGGGCTGGGCGGAAAAGCTCAAGGCCGCTGGTATTGAGGACACCAAATTCAACCTTAAGTGCATCATATCCCATGTCCTGAACAAGAAATTTGTAATGTTTCTGTCATAAATCTCAGTTTTGACCTTAATTAACATGCTGTGCTTTTTAGAACACCGTACCGGATTCGTATGAAAAGCTTCAGTTCAATTCGAGTCAGTTGGCCGATTTTGAGCGTTTCCTGGAGGCACGATGCGCTCGAATGCCCCTGCAGCACATCATTGGCGAGTGGGACTTTATGGATCTCACCCTGAAAACGGCACCAACTGTATTCATACCTCGCCCTGAGACCGAGGAGTTTGTCCGGCTGGTGATCGAGAACTACAAGAATGAGAAGCACGTAAATATGCTGGAAGTGGGTTGTGGTTCCGGTGCCATGTCGCTTGGCATGTTGCACAATTTGCCACAGGTGGTGTCCACCGCCATTGAAAGAAGCAAGGCTGCCACCGTGCTGGCTGCGGAGAACGCCAAGCTTCTCAACCTCCAGGATCGGTTCACTGTTCACAACCACACCATGGAGGAGGACAAGTACTTGCCAGAGGAGCTAAAAGACAAAAAGTACGACTTGATTATTTCCAATCCGCCTTATGTTAAGACGGAGGAGTTTCAGTATCTGCATCCCGAAGTGGTGGTGTAAGTAAAGGTTGGATATTGTTTCACATTCTTGAACTGAGAACCTTTATTCTTCAGCTATGAAAACCTCAACGCTCTGGATGGCGGTTCCGATGGCTTGCGAGTGGCTCGGTTGGTCTTTGAGTTGGCCTGCCGTCACTTGCATCCCGGTGGCAAGCTCTGGCTGGAGTTGGGCAACGAGCACCCGCCCATGGTGAAGACCATCATGAACCTGCAGTACGAGGGACGCCTGAAGTTCATAGCCAGCTATAATGACCAGTATAAGCGCGAAAGATTCGTCCAGATTGAAAAAGTCTAGACGAGATTTATTTAAACCCACACTGCTGATACGACTTAGATAATGCAATTACCAATTACCATGCCTACGCATTTAGCTGTGATTTGATTTATAACCTCACGACCGCAAGCTGCCCAGAGGCTCTCACGTAATATATATTAAATATATATACATCTTAAAGAATATTTATATCGTTTATGTTTTATTACTCTACCAGTCTCATAAATAATATAAAAAACTATTTTGTTTAGTTTTAAATGAGAGTAACCACACAAGTGAAGTAACAACAACTGGAAAAAGCTTTAAGCTTTTGGGGAGAGAAAGCTTCGGCAGCAACAAGTGGAATATCTCTGAAATCCAGAGACCATGCTCACTTGGGAATCGAAGCTCGCGCCGCACGAATCTGCGGGATACGCATCCGCGAGATAAACGCGGTTTTTGAAACTGTCTCCGTTGTCGTTTTTAATTCAATTGACTTTTTCGGGCTGCGAGTTGTGCGATCTCCTCGGACCGGCTGGTGTGTGTGTGTGTTATATTACTTTCAAGTATACATTTCATTGCTAATAAATTATAATTAACGAATGGGCAAAATTATAATTAAAGGCTACATTTCAGCGAAGCTCTCAATGAGACAGATAATAAAAGCGAAGAAGATTAAGCCAGTCGCTGGGCAAAAATAAAAAATATGCAAAGCCAAAAGCAAAACAAAAACACGTTAAGCAAGAAATTGGTTTAAAAAAAAAAGAAACCAAAATAAGTTAATGTGCATACAAACATATACATATATGTAATTTTAATTAAGAAATATGTATAAAAAATGAATGCGTGTAAATGTACAGATACAGATACTGATGCCAAACTTTATGCTGAAGGCTGTTTGGATTTTGGATTGGAAACTTTTAGATTTAGAAACCAATTACACAGATCGTGACATTATTTAATGCATTTGTCTGACTGATTGACTGCAATTTGTATCTCAGTGTGAGTGAGTGCGTGTGGCTGCGTAAGCTTGAATGTTTATTAATTGAAAACCGAAATCAAGTTTAAGCTGCGGACTGCGTTCTTTTCGGCTATGACTGGTTCTCCTATGACGCTATTTTATCGCCTTGGGTTTTCTGTAATTTTATTTTAGCACACTTTCAATATTTGTTTGTTGTCGGTGGAGCAGTGCTCTCCTTCTTCTGATAATTGCGAACAAAAAAAAAAAACAAACTGAATAAACAAGATTCAACAACGATTTTTCTGCTGGCAGCTCTATGCAAATAAGAATAACCACAAAATAACAAAATAACGATAATGACAACACAGAGGCAAGCATAAACCCCAGTCACCCAGCTAGCCACCTAGTCACCCGGGCCAAATACTCATCTGCTGTTGCTGGTTATTTCTGGTAATTCCTCCTGCGGTGGCAGCAACACTACCAGCACGACGGCAGCAACTTGCAATTCCAGCAACAGCAACATCAGGCAGCAACAATCGATTGCCGAGCGAAAGTTTTTGCTGCCGAGTCGCACGCCGGTTATGTTAACAAGTGTGGGTTGTTGTCTCTTTATTTTTTATTTATTTTTTTTTGTATTTTGTTTTTATTTTAGCGCACTGTGTGTCAAGGTACTGCGAATCAGTAAATCACTAAACGTTTCTTTCGCGTCACTGTGACCCACGGGCTAAGTAGGCTATTTAAATGCACACGTTCGCATGGCACAAGGTCCTCCCATTTTAATGCACTGCGAAAAGCCGAAGAAACCCGACTCAAAATCAAGATAGTAGTTATCTATTTTAGATGGCCTTTCACGGGCCGGCGAGAGTGGGAATTGAATTGAAATGCAAATGGACTGGCCACGTTAGATTGTTTGTCGCAAACATTTAAGTTGGGGGGGCTTACCCATATATCACTAACTTGATCGATCTTTGTTTGAACAATGGCGCCGCCACAGGTTCTTATCACTTTCCCACACACTTTTTAATAGCTTCCAGCCCAGTGTCGTACCTGTGGCACCGCGACACTCTATGAATACATAAGGAAGTGTTGCATAAATGAAAGTTATAGACCCATATAGTGTATAGAAAAAGGGAAATTAGGAGTTCGATTTGGTTAAGTTTATAATTTAGGATTGGTCACGTCAAGAGACGGATGGATACAAAGTCTATGTCACAATAGCAACATCAACAAATAATTTAAATGCTTTCGCAGGCGGCAATTGGAGAGGCAACAATTAACAAAGACAACTGCAACACGGAAAACCATACCCATAGCCATAAACTGAGAGATACACTTGGCTGGAGTGGAGTGGAGTGGACTGAAGACAGTCCTCCTGCAGCAGAAGATGAAGAATCGTCAGCGAACCCGCCGAATATCGCTAAATGAAAACCACAACAGCAACATCGATGTACAAATATTTACCAATACAAAAGAACCCAATCAAGTCAATTTAAATTCATCGTCAAAGCTGCTGGCAACTACAGAAACGTCGACCTCAGCGGAGGCTGCTCATCCCGCCTCGCCTCCAGCCGCTCAGATAGGCGCTCCAGCTATCCGGCACCAGCAGCAACAACAACAACAACTGATTAGGCCGGCCACAATCATGACGGGCACATTTCCATTCCACACCAAGCTGCGAAAATCCAAGTCGACGCCAAGTCTCAGCCAGCCGATGGCCGAGGATCTCCCCACCTGTCATCCACCTGCCACAGAGGCTAGGAAAACCCTGCAACATGAACAATTTTCACGGATCACCAGCAACACCCCGCCAACAACGACACCGGAATCATTGCGTTTTGGTTGTGCTCACTATAAGCGCCGGGCCATGTTTGTGGTAAGTTTTAATATTAAAAAAAATATATATTAAATATTTAAAAAATAGTATTAAATTTAAGAGAAGTTTTCCAAAGGGAAGGGAGAGCGATACTCACAGATAGATCTCAGAGTAGATCTATTCTTTGATATCTTCGAGATATCAATTTTAATATTTCGTATAATTTTGATGGATCATCCAGGGAACTGGTTTTGACCTTAATTACACTTTTCATGCAATTCAATTGGATGGAAAAATGGTTATGAAAATAGATGAAGAAAAATTTTCTTTAATTGTTAAAGAAGATCAACCCTATCTTCAATTGGGACTACATGCGGGTCTAATATACTTTTAATATTATTCCAAATATTTATTAAATCATAAGTGGCTTTTCTTAAAGGAAAGTTATAGTGGCTTTCTGCAAATTTTTCTTTCGATTTATTCATTCCGGCCGCCTCGAATGGACCATTTAAGGTTTATTTATTTATTTCTAAACAAACAAATGAAATAAAGTGTCTAAAGTCTAACCAGACACCTTTGCCAATGGCTCTTTTGTTCGTTCTGTAATTTTATTTCAATTGAAGGGAATTACTTTTTTTTTGCAAGGCAATTGTACTATACAGACAATCTCATGGTGTCCGGAAACCTGGTGCTCTGGTTCCGATTCAGAAGGCTGGAATTTTGTAGAGGCCTGCTGCCCGCCCGCAGGCGAGTGGCCAGTTAACACCTCCATTTTACGGTTCGGTTTGGATAAGAGATTATGAGTAAACTGAAAATTGTGTGCACCTATAAAGCAATCGTTCCTCGGCTATATCCAGTTCTTTACTTAGCTCATTAGGAGGAAGCCGACATAATTATCGAGAGGTGATAAGTAAGGCATATAGCGTCAGATAATAAAATTATAGGCTGAGAAAATAGTGACTAAGTTCAAGGGAAAGTAGAGATGCACAAGATGGAAAATTGTGAGCCCTGTATTTGCCTAAAATATCTAATGTATTGATAGTTAAGATTAGCATGACTAAATACAGATTAGGATGCACCAGAACGTAAAACTTATTAGAGGAAACTTATTTTAAATACAACAAAATAACCGCAAAACTAAGCAATTTCCATTCCGCGATATGAATTAATAATTTAAGCCCCAAAATGTATTTTTACAAAAATGTCACGTAAGCCCGTTCACGCCCCATTCCGTCCTACATTTTCGATAATCCGGAGAGGTGTTTTCAGCGATTTCGCTTTCGCCAGTTCAATTATTACACTGTTCAAAATTCGGCAAGATTTTACCATTTAGTGAGTATTTAAGTCGAGGTATAATTGTTGAATCAGGTGGCGTATTTTAATCACAAATATTTGTATTGGCATTAATAAACGAGTGTCTGTAAGTCGCACAATGCGTGAAATTAATTTATACATACCTGTGGACTCAGGCCCAATGTCAAAAACGATGTGTGCAATACCAAGTGGAGCAATGCCCGCGATTATATGTATTAATATCGTCGTGTTCCAGGCACATCTTGTATCAATTTGTCGTAGAACCTTGTATTTTAATTGTGTTTAACTTTGTTCTTTGTTTTGGCTAAATAAATGAATTCGAGGCGTCAGGTAAGATGAGATGACACACAAATGAAATAATATGATCATTAATGAAGAACAGCACTTAATTGAAGGGAAGGGGAAACACAAAGAAACCGGATTCAAACAGGCTGCTACTCCTCTTCTGCAGTTCGAGTGTTATCATCATCCCAGCAAAGTTTAAGTACAACAATTAATACAAAAAAAGAAACTGTTGTTAAGCTATAAATAATTCTTGAAGATAGTGGAAGACATACCCTCTTGAAGAAGGGTGTCACAGCTTAGGACGCTAAGTATTTTTTTATTGCATAAGTTACAAAAAGCAAACAATTAAGATAAACCAAGTTTATCATGTTTATCATAAATTTGTTTAATGTGTCTGCAAGAACCAGATTTCTACCCGTCAGATTTTGTATCAAAATGTTGAGGCAATTAGCAACCAAATAATGAATCGACACGAGTTTCTTTATCCATCTTTAAAACGGATTTAGTTTCTCCAGTTGATTTGATTAGGATTCGGTTTCGTAGCTCATAAATCTCGCTCGAATTCCAAGTGCAATGTTTACGATAATGCTAAGTTACTCCAAAATATTTCATTTTTGGGGGCCAAGTGCGTCACTTTACAGTCTTATTCGACAGTTTCCAGGCAGAGTTTGTTAATTAGCAACTTAATTTGGAAATTAGGGGCCGCATCATCGGGGACTGCTAATGAATTATGCTGGGTTCGGGGTAGTCCTTGGTAAAGGGAGTTGTAGTGTGGAATCTTAGCTTTAATTAAGATGGAATTTTTTTTAAGAGGAATGTTTTTTCTTTCCATGACTAATTTGTTTTTGTTCTTTGTACATAGACTCCCTGCTGCAACAAGTTCTACAAATGTAGATTCTGTCATGATGAGAACGAGACGCACCACTTCGATCGCAAGACACTCACGGAATTAATCTGCTCAGAATGCAATACCCGGCAAACAGTCCGGGAACAGTGCGAAAATTGTGGAGTACGATTTGGAAAGGTTAGTAAACCATAGGGCTTTCAGAAAATAAAAATTTTACCTCAGAGATTAGATATCTTAATTTGTTAAATTTTTATTAGATTATACTTTGCAATGTATCCAGCAGCTTTATATATTTGCATACCGGATCTTTGATTGGAGAAGTGGTTTTAAAATGTCATTTATCTCAAGAGAATTCAAATTTCTTTATTAGCATTATAAAAATATATGTATATAGATAAAACAAATATTTGTTATTTTTTCACTTACAAAAATCATTAAAATAGCTTATAAATATTTGTATCTTTTTTGTGAGGGGATTTTTTGGTTGACGATTGTTAAGATTGATCTTACTAATTGGAGGAATAATTAATTAACTGATCACGCTAAAAAAAGCTTTTTATTATTATTATAATTATTTCAGTACACTTGCCTCATTTGCAACCTCTTCGATGATGCGGACAAGCAGCAGTACCATTGCCATGGCTGTGGCATCTGTAGGATTGGCGGTGCCGAAAACTTCTTCCACTGCGAGGTGTGCAACATGTGCTTACCCATCCAGCTGAAGATCGATGGCCATCGGGTGAGTTTTGGATTTTTGTACTTTTGGTCCATTAGACCAGTCGAAAAATTTTCGTTGTAAGCACGGATTGACCTCAGTATCTTGAAAGCAAATCAAAGACATAGCCAGACAGTTTGCATATTTTTTAATTTTGTCAATTCATTGCCGAAACCGGTTGCCTAATTGCTTTTTGTAGCTGGTCGCGATCTGCGATCCAGTTGAGTGGATATGAATGTCAAAACGGTTCGAGGAATAGCTTAATTAATTGGTCAACATTTTGAGTTGCTGTGCAGATCCGTAACAGGCACCCAAATCTGAGATGAATCTCAGCCATAGATGGCCAAGCCCTTTTTAATGATATTTTACCCGATCTTTTGCAGTGCGTGGAGAATATATCACGATCCCATTGTCCGGTTTGCCTGGGAGATATCCATACATCGCGTATTCCCTGCCATATTCCCGACTGTGGACACCTGCTGCACAAGATGTGCTTTGACCAGCTGCTGGCCTCCGGCCACTACACCTGTCCCACCTGCCAGACCTCGCTGATAGACATGACGGCGCTTTGGGAATACCTCGACGATCAGGCACTCCGCTTGCCAGTGCCACTGAAATACGAAAATCAGCGCATACATATTTTTTGCAACGATTGTCACAAGGTGAGGTTGCAATCTACTTATGCTTAAATGAATAAAATAATATATTATATATACTTTGCAGACTTCCAAAACCAAATTCCATTTCATAGGACTCAAGTGCGTGCACTGCGGCGCCTACAACACCACGCAGGATGTTAAGCGTCGACTGTCTCTGGTCACAGATGAACCCTCCTCGGCGTGATGTTCCCCAGGTTGCCCCAACATCAGTATCGACATCCATATTCACATCCAAATCAGCATCAGCAACTGCAACAGGAAATCTCTTGCCATGCTCCCTCCCCCCACATATTTGAAGAAACTAAATTGTTTTCGTAAACCAAACCACAACTGAAATCGAAACGCATTGAATTTAGACCAAATTCGAGCTGGTATCGAATATGAAACAAACAAACCCCTAAGCAAAAGGCTCCTTAAACACTTTTGGTGGAGTATTGAAATCTCTAAAGACTTTCAAACATTATTCTGGATTTTCAGAAACTAAATAGATTGAATGTATTGTGATAGGCCTTTAAAATAATTGAATCTTGAATATTATTTGAAAATCTTTAAAAGTTTCACTATTCCACCTTTTAGTTCCAATTATTGCAATAAAAAGCACTCGAATTTTTAAGTTTTCTATTTTTTTTTGCAAAATTAATTGATGTTATTCTCGAATTTTTTCACAAAACTTAATTTTTGAAAAACAATCCCTTTCTCAAAACGCCGTCACAAATTTACAATATTTTCAATAAAACTAAGATAACTTGAAAACAAGGTTTTATTTTTTGATTATTTTATATTTTGGGTATTTAAATTCATTATTTAAACTAATAATAATGTGTATAGTTTTTTTTGGTAACTTTTTAGATGCCTAGAATCTACTCGTTATAGATAAAAATATCATTTTTCCCCGATAGCATATGGATGGTAACTGATAGAAGGCTTTTTTGTACATATTTAAATTGGTGATTGGTGCATTAAATAACAAATTGCGAATCAATTTCCTGTGGAGTAGCTTCTCTTTTTACAATAGAATAGAACTAGATTGGAAAAGGTATTTATAACCAAGTATATGGCAGACTTTCCGATATCTACTGGAAAACTTACAGGAAGTTGTCCCAAAATTGAACCGATAGGCGATTAAAAAGACTATTACTGAGACTTTTCTTTGTCAACTAGAGAAGAGGTTGCATCTCCTCCTGCGGCCTTCTCTTCTGCCCGTTTCTTCCGCCTTTCGGCTGCCTTTTTCTGACTGGTCAGATATAATCCTAAGGCTATCATTGCCGCCCAGCTGATGTATCCAATGTGATAGACCGAGCTGTAGAAGCGCCAAATGTTTCCAAACGAGGAGAGCAGGAAAGCCTCTCCCAAGTAGCTGAAGGCAAACCACTTGAAGATCCAGAACAGAACGTCGATCACGTTGCGGCTGGTGCCAGTAGCATCCTTGCGGACCAGTTTGTGCCACATATCCTCCAGTGAGACGTAAAAGGGGGCTCCCATGATGCAGAAGTAGTGTCCCGGCCGGAAACCGTGCCAGTAGGCAGAGCACAGCAAGGTGGCACCGGTTCTAAAATGTTTAAAATTATATTAGTTTAGTTTTTTTTTTTTAAATCCTAAATAAAATTAACTACTAGGTATACCTGCCAACCCTGCGAGCAATGGCATTGGGAAAGAACAACAACAAGAGCAATAATACCAAAAGCAAGCATAATTACAATACATAGCTGACTAGGATTCTATGAAATACTTTCAAGTCATAAGAGTTTTTCAGGAGCTTATTAATACATGTAATTTCATAGTCTCATAGTTTACACATAACTATTAGGAGGCCCATTACTGACCTGTATTTCTTGCTGGGGAAGAGTTTGTAAACGTTCACGGCAAGCCAATACTGGACACAGACATTCCAGTGTTTCATGCCCTCCCTGAAGGTCCAGCATCGCTCCACATCCAGTACTCTGGTATTTACAATCGTGTTGAAGTTGTACTTGTGCTTTTCGGCGTCTCGTTTCAAGTGCTGGTAGCGCTTGCGGGGACCCTCGCCATTGTTGGGATCAGACTCATCCGGATAGGCTCCGAAACCGGCCATGGTGCACACGCACTCACTCAGGGTCAGGCCCGTGTAAATGCGGGCACGGAATGTAAAGAATGTGGGCCAAACGTACAACAGCCGGTAGACAAAGGAGCGGTCATTGTAGAACTGATCACTCAGGGCATACTGAAAGATCAAAGGAGGTTTTAAAATTGAGATGACATTTCCTAATAGTAATATCTCACATCTAGGGGCCAAAGATAGTTTGTGGTTAGGTAAAGAGCGCAGTAAAAGACTGCATACTTAAGCTTCTCCAGCGTGGCCTCAATGCTGGGCGCATGAGTCTTGAATGGCATCTCAAAGTAGTCTCTGTATGTGCGGTAGCGATAGTAGGGGCCTGCAAAAAAAAATCATATGTTTTACAAGCTTCAGTCTAACTGATAAAGAACTAGTGGCCATAATATACAGAATTATTATCTGTAATTAAAGCGCTTGAACTTTGTACCCCGCTGACTTGATCCACCTGATCATCACCTGTTAGAACTCCAATATAGTTGAAGCTATAATGAACAATTTCTGCCGCCCCCAGAGTCTGCAGCTCCACATCATAATCTGTAATCTCTACGAGACTCTCTGAGTTGACATCTCTATCCTCCTTCTTATCTTGCTCCTCCCGAGCATTTATTCGTTTCCATGCTGCCGTTTTCTCAAAAGCTATTCCAGACACCTGAAACAGAATCGTTTTAAATCAATTACTGGCAATTGGAGTCGTTATGCAACTAACCTTCAGGGTGAGTATCATTTGAATCATGTTCGTGTGGCCAGGGATTCCCAGGTAAAAGTCAAAGAGTCGGAAGAACACCAGGTAGCCAAACATTACAACAAACGTAACCAGATGACATTTGCTGGAGGAAGATGAGGATGAGTTGGTGGTCAACAAAAGTATGTCAATCCATTATGGAGCCCTAGTTCTCACCTAGGATGTACGAGGAGCACACTGGCTGTGCCCAAGGCCAAGGATGCAAAGCAGTGGAGACTATGGAGACCGGAAACAATCACAACCACAATCACCCCCAGGGCGGTGGACACCAATTTCCGCTGCCCCTCATCGCTGATCTTCTTCACATAGCTTCCAGCGCCGATGCAGGCCAGTAGGCAGATTACGTAGATGACGTCGTCGATGCTCATTGTTATTGTTATTGTTTCTTTCTATTGCTATTGATTTGCCAGCCGCTTTTGCGGCCGCCTTTGTTGTTTTTTTGAGGATAATAGTGAGGCCATAGCGAGTTTCTTCATCAATCCACCATTCATGTTACATTTCACTGTTATTAACAGAATCATAACATCATGTAAAGTAAATATATTTCGGTTGTGAACTTGGGTAAATGGTACTTACATGTTCTGTACGTTTTTTTCTTTTATTTAAGCTTAAAAAATATATACAGTGGATCACAGACTTTAAAACCACTTTAAACGTCGTTTAGTTTGGCTAGATTTAATGATTTAACGTTTTCATTTAGTGCTGGTTGAAATAAGCTGTGATCTACTGAATGTATATTGCATCGTTTGTCACGAGAAGCCTTTTCCACATGAAGGCTATCTGCTTTCGGTCGGCCGATTTTAGACGACGACATTATCCTGGTAAGGGCTTTTTCGCTTCAGTGTGTGCTTATGGCGGTAAAGGAATTCCCATTCCCGCTTACTAGGGCTATTGTCTGCAAACGGCGCCAGGTGAGCTCCCAATATCAATGCCTCAGATGCGAATAGACGGGTCAACTGGATGTCATGTTTAGATCGGACTAGTCGGACCAGAACAGAGTTAATTCAAAAACTAAAGGTACTTTATTTATGAAAATATTAAATTTTATTTATTTTTATTTTATTTAAACTTCCTTTCAGACCTTTGATCCTGTAGAAGAGTAAGGTGATTATTCATTCCAAGAACGAGATCCCTCTTCAGTTTCGATGCTTTCTGGTTTCTGTACTATTCCTGAACCTATAGAAGCATACTACGATATTTGGATAAGATTTGGCAGTCTCTGAAGATAATTTTAAAAGAATCCTATTGACATGTCTTCTGGAGTCTTTTATCCATTCAGAAGTGGTTTCTGCGACTTAGATGACTTTCCTTATAAAAAGTAAATCCACATGGATTATAATTACATTATATAATAATCCAAATCTAAAAATAATATAAAAGTCTATAATGTATAGGTAATCTATACATTCGATTATTATAATAGTAGTCTCAATTGATAAACATAATACATAATATTATATATAATTTAATTTATTTGTTGAACCCAATACTTTGTTAGGAACAATAAAAATGTTGGGAATAAGATTTCCTAAAGATAAAAGATTTCCCAGTGAGTATTGTTTCTACAAATCCAAATATATTTAAAATTCAATCACGTCAATTGTGCCATTTAATAAAATAATCTTTAAGCGAATTTTCATTTGATATTTCCTTAAAAAACCGCAGAAAGTCAATTAGATGACCCATGAAAACGATTACAATTAAAGATTAGTCTGATAATGATATTCCATAATCTATAACCGCAAAACGCCCAGTTGATAATTGTAATCGCGTTTGACTAACTTAGCTTTTGCCCACTTTTTTTGCCGTCTATAGAAGCTTTCATTCTGAATTTCCCAGACACGCGACATACCATAGTTGTCCAACTTGGGGTAGTCAGTGGCTACGTCATAGACTGCACAGGGAACCGGTAATGCAAACTGGACTTGTTTCTGTGGGAAGAAACGCGTGCCTCTACAAAAAAAAGCGGGCAATGCCTCATATCAGCCGGGTATATAGTGATCAGGGGCTGGCCTAAAAGGGGTTTAGTAATCTATAAAAATAACTATGGTTTATGTGTCTTAGAAGCTTCTTAAGACAAAGTTATAATTTTTATAGTATATGATTCGAAAGTGCAATGTTTTCTTATCTTTAATTAATATTTTCCCCTGTTTATAATCTTTGATTTCCTCAGTTATAAAACCCCTTTCTACCCACAGCCCTGAACTAAACCGACAATCAATTGAATCGCTTGATCTGTGCGAATTAATGCCGTGAAAATGCCAGACTGACGTGCCTAGTGCGTCTAGTGAGCACTATTAATAGAGATGCTGAGACCACAGGTATATAAAACCAGGTAGCTGGATCGAACGGATCAACAGAGTGCACTTGCCAGTAGAACCGATAGCTTCTCTAGCTGCAGCTGATCTAATAAATCGACCAAAGATGTGGACTCAACCATTTGCAGTTCTCTTGTTGGTGGCCTTAGGTGAGTTTTCTTCAAACAAAATAATACAACAGGCATAACATAATAATTATTTTTTAATTTAGCCCAAGGCAAGCCCAGTATAGTTGAAGTTGAGGGTGATTACGATGCCGAGATGAACGAGTTCATGAGTAGTCTTTCCAATCTGGACGATACTCCCTCTGGTTTAGGCTCCAGATCGGACATCTCCAACCAACCCGAGGCGGATGACATCCTTCAAAATCTTGACGATGAATACGAGGGAGCCACGCTCGAAAAGTGGAATCAGTGCGACAAGGATCTCAGTGAATCGCGGGGTATTGGAAAGTTTTTGGATCTGGCCTTTGTCAAGAAAATAGCCAGCAATCTGAACCCATTCTCCAGCAAGAAGCTGCGAATGCAGTTCTACCTCTTCAAGCGGGAGTTCCCCCTGTGCGGCAGGGAGCTGGACTTCTCCAATGAGCGAAAATGGAAGAGATCCGGTTTCAATGCCTCACTGCCCACCAGGCTGATGGTCCATGGCTGGATGAGTCAGTCGCGCGGCTCCTTCAATCGGGACATAAAGGATGCCTATCTGAAGAAGGGGGAGTACAACGTGATTGTGGCCGATTGGAGTGCCAGTTCTGCAAACATCAACTACTTCTCAGTGGTCACTCTTATCGAGACCTTTGGCGCCCAGTTGGCCCAGTTTGTGAGGAGCCTGAACCGAGAGTTTAATGCCGACTTCGATAGCATGTACTTGATTGGTCACTCTCTGGGTGCCCAGATAGCTGGAGCCGCCGGCAAGCGACTGAAGCCCGACCAGGTCAACACCATCTTTGCTTTGGACCCAGCCGGACCAAAGTTCCGCCATAACACCGCCGAATTCCGGATCGATTCCACCGATGCCAAGTATGTAGAGTCCATGCACACCAGTGCCAACTTTGGATTCCGTCGACCCACGGGCAGGGCCACCTTCTACCCGAATTTTGGAGCATACCAGCGCAGCTGCTATTACCTGGGCTGCTCCCACATCCGATCCTATCAGATGTTTGCCGAATCCATCAACTCACCACTTGGATTCTGGGGAACACCCTGTGTCCGGGAGGAGGGTAAGTGGAAGTGCGATCAGAGCCGAAGGCAAACCGTCCAGATGGCAGGAGAGCCATCTCTCCCCAAAGAGGGAACCTTCTACGTGAAGACCTCGTCAAGTGATCCTTTTGCGCTTGGCAGACAGTCTAAGTCGGATTAGATTTATAGTTTTTTCATTAACTGCCTCAAATGTGATTTCATTTTATAAAATGTATAATTTATTTAAAATAAATTTAATGATAATTTAAAAAATATTCTTCTTGTACTTAAAACATCTTCAAACCTTTAAAGAATCTCCCCAAAAGCTGGCCATTTTTATAACCACTTCAACTAGCTTATCTTCCAAGCCATATTGCAACGTAACTTTGAGAACTTCCAAGCTGAAAAGGTAAGAAAAATTCGCAGAATGGTCGCAATGGAAATCAAAGCGTTGCATGCCCCCAGAAGAAGGTCCTTTTTTCCGAGGGAGTGAAGCAAAACCAATGAATATGCAAACGGCAAAGTGTGAGAAAGTCGCCGAATAATTAAAATCGAGCTGGAGAATATTTTTTTTTGTAAAAGACGATGGCGATGGCAAGTTCTTCTCCTTGGCCGGATTAGAGATACTCGGGGAAACAGTTTACGGCGGACAATTAAGTGCGGCCCGTAATCTGTCTGTCGTAATTATGGCGACGCGGCGTGTATTTATCTGCAGCAATTAACGCCGCCAAGCCAGAGCCAACTCTCATATTTCACACGGCCAAAGATGCGCCATTGGCCCAGACACTTTCTAACTTTAATTAAAACTAGATAAAACGGCGATTGCATAGGGGCCCCAAATACAAACGAATATTTATTGGATGTTCGAATTTTTTTTCGTTGGCATATCAGTCGCCTGGCTTCTGAACCACAACAATGATGTAGTTCTCCGACGGCACTATTATGACCTCGTGCTGTTTGGTGCGCAAGCGTATGTTCATCAACTCGTTATTCGCGTCCAGGCTGGACACCATCTTGGCCGCCTTGGCTGCCAAGGTGTTGACCACGGCGGCGTAGTGCACCGTCAATGTATAGTCCATGGTCGTCTTAATGGGAATGGCAAAGGGATCCAAAATTATAATGCCAACCACATTGGGATAACTCTGGTAGCGTTTCAATATCTCCTCAATTTCGGCAGACATCCTGTAGGAAATATATATATATACCCACTTGTCGATTTGTTGGTCCAAGTTTTAATGACTGTGTTTTAAATCTGATAATTTAAATTAAAACAAAAGGCACACTATGATATCACAAAAAGTAGTAATTTTGTAGTCCCTTGTTTCAAAAGTTCTTCCAGATTTTCAAATCAAGTAATCCATGACTAGTTTTTGGCCCTGAAAATGTCGACCAGGTCATGAATCTCTGGAAACAAATCATTTCTATTTCTGGTTTCGGACTGTAAAGATCTCTAAAAAACAAAATCATAAAAACCAAAAAATATTTCCTGGAATCCAAATTTTTATTAAAAATTTTCGACCAAAAAAAATTAAAATGGAGTATGGAAATGGTATGCAATTCGGAGGCTTTGGCCAGGGCGGCGAGGTATGTATTTAATTTTTGTTGGGTTACAAAAAAATATTATTAATATTTGAATTTAAAATATAGGGCTATGAAATGAACTACGACCAGATGGGCACCAGCCAGGGTTTCGGCCAGTCTGCTGGTGGCTTTGGACAAGAGTCTAGGAACATGCAAAGCGGAGCTGCTGCTCTCGGTGGTCCCGGATACCGTAGTCCTCTGCGGTATCAGAAGATAATGCGCGAGATGAACTCTCGCAATGGGCTTTAGTAAGTTCTAATTACATCTTGGTCCTTCAAAAAATATAATAAAATTAAAATCCCTAGCTCTCCCATGGAGCAACAGCGTGGAGGAGGACAGGGTGACTACTATAGCTCCTTACCCGGAATCGGTGGCGCCGAGGGTCAAGTGTATCGTAACCGTGGAAATGGCAACGGCAACCAAAACTCCTACTTCTAGTCAAAAATGTGCACTAACTTGATATTGATATTATGGTTTAAAATTGAGCTGTGTTTATCTATAGTTAAACATTAAATATGATATAATTTTAAAAGCTGACTTGTTTATTTTATGGGTTTTAAAAGGGTTTGGCAAAGGGCTTGGGATTTAAGCTATTGGGTAATCTTTTTAAAAGCGATTTTTATTTGATTGGTGGCTGTATGCTTTTTTATTGGCATAATTTATAAAAATTTATAATTAAAAAGAACTTTGCTAAGAGGACTAAGAAGACCTATTCCTACAGAACTATGCCTACTATAATCAAAAAGCACCTACATATGTTTAAAACATGTTCCTCCTGAGGGCTTTGGTTGCTCTGGCCGGCATATATCCGGCATTTTATTAGATTACCTTTATTTCACCTTTTTTCACCATCAAAGTAAGCGTTTGTTAAAAACGTTCCAAACCTTCCAAAATAGCAGCAATCTAGTTACCCTTTCTTTTAGGATGTCAAACGAGGTAAGAATTACTTCCGACTAACTTCATTTAAATTTGATCTTTTGCCAAATTACAACCAGAAAAAAAGTTTAAAAAAATTCTCTTAAAATTTAAAGTATCCTTTCGGTCAAAATCAAATCAAAAGAAAAACTGACCTTCTAAAATGGACATTGATTTTGCAATGTACGCTCAACTCTCTGGAATTCCCTATATGCCCACTCCCGAGGAATATTATCCCGAGGTAAGTTTCCTAAACTCTAATAATAAAACTATTAATTACGTGGTTGGGTTCAGTTACCACGTGGGATACAGCATCAAGAGCCAGAGCAGCGTCATGGCGACTATCGTCTTCCTCCAATGGATGTGGATATGTCTTATAACCATCAAAATTATCAGGCACATCAGAATCGTCAGGCCCCACCACTGTCTATGCAACATTTATACATCGACAAGTACTGCCAGAAGCAACCCCAGCCTAGGGATAATATGTCCGATGGCTTCCGCTCCAATCCCTACAATAATGTCTGCTATCAGAGTACTAGTCCTTCGGAGTATCGCTGCATGGCACGTGGAAAAAGGCGAGCCAAAGAAATGATGTCACGTAATGGGTTGTAGTAAGTCCTTAAAAAAATATAAATATTAATTTACGGATTAACCATTAAGGAATTTTCATAGCTCCCCCATGGATGCTCCTGGCACCCAAAACAGCGGAGGAGATTCATGTTACTTTCCCAATTATGTTAATGGTTAGTAAATGATTTAGTTTTTAGAATATTATTTAATCAAAAATCTATATCCTAGATTATAATGGAAGAACGCAAAATCCACGCAGATATTCATATTGGTGAAGAGCAGCCTTTTCTCGTATTTAAAACATTTTTGGTAGTCTTATTTCTTTTAGTGTGTTCCGATTTGTTGAATCTTTTGCGAAAAAATATATTCCACTAAAAGATGTGCATAAGTGTTATTTTTTTGGGATTAAAACAGGACGTTCTTTTTTTGAAATTACCATGTGATCCTTTAACTTGAAATGATCAGTTGGGCCACTATTATCCAGAAGAATAGGTATTACTCCCATTCCTTGTGGGTAATTAACGTTTATTTTATGGCCATTTACCATTGTATAGAACCAAAGCAGCCTCCCACCCAACCTGCCCCGGCCCCACCCTATATGTCCTTTAGAAAATCAAGAGGAGAGCCAGGGAATTGTGTGTGTAGGTGGGTGGGTGGTTTGGCTCAAGTCACCCAAACCCAACAAAGTGCAATGAAGGATTAAAATAAGAAAGATGTGCAAATAAAATATTTTACAAAGCGGACAACGAGGACAACTTTTTGTCCAGGACTGCTCTGGTGGTTTCCAGGATATGCGGGGGTGGCCAGAGACTGTGGGTGTGATGGGGTCCGAAATGCGAACGGAACATGTCGATGTGGAGTGGGACAGAGACAGGGACACAGACAGAGACAGAGACAGGAAGACACAGAGACGGACTACAACAAACAATGGCAACCAGACTGAAGCTTGGACTTGCACCGCTCAGGGATCGTGGTATCAGTGGGTGGTTGGCTTTGGTTTGAGTTTTCCATGGGCGTATGCCAAGAGAGGGGAGTGCTGGGGAGGGAAGCCGGGTCGACACTGCATGGTAGCATTGTCAAAATAAATCAATCGGTTTTATGTTGTTTTCTGGAATTTCGGTTTTGTTGCTTTGTTATTTTGTTGCCACCGCCACCGTCACCGTCGACATCAGGATGCCCCGGTGTGGAACAGTTGCAGGAGCTGCTGCTGGTGCTGCTGCTGCAGGACCAAGAACAACTACAGCTACAGCTTGCGGTGGCATAAATCAGTTGGCCGTTGGACCCATTTATGAAAGGATAAACCCAGTACACACACCCATATCCCCAACAAATACTAAAAATTCAAGTGAGTTGTGAGAGTAGCGAGCGGCGGGCTCATAAAAATGCATAAGTTCCAAAAAATTGTATAAATAAAAATACAAATTTTTCGTTAGCCCCGGCTAGCTAATAATTCAAGTTACCTTACCTCACAACCAGAAGCTAGAAATTTTCTGATTTATCTCGAGAGGAATTAAGATGTCTCAAAAGTTCCAGCGGGCAACATTAAAACATCATCCGAGGAAAAGACTCTAAAATAGGTTTCGGCAACTCCTTTCGAATTCCCTCTATCAGCTCTTCATAATCGTTCACACTTCCTCTGCTGGTAACTTTGGTTTTGTGGTGATGGAGCTGAGGGCAAAGGGGGGCAGGCCAGATGGTTTAACGAAACTTTACTGGATCTCTTTGGACGCGTCTAAAGTGATTTCCTTTTAGGATTTTCAAAAACTTTCACCAAAGGTAAGTAAACATCGCCCACATCCACATACACTCTAGTCCTGGTAGTCCTGTCTCACCACATATGACTCTGGGTCCGAATCCTTGGCCCTTTTCTCTAATGAAGCAGAATCCGCTGGCGCATTTGCCTCGACTCTTTAATCCTTAATAACTTTCGAGCAAGTGACTTTACAACGCACACAAAATGTCCAAATTCATCATCTTTGTGTTGGCATTGAATGTGGGATTTGTGGGTAGAGGACCATTCCAGAGGATTTTATACTTTCAGGAATTAGTTGTCACTCCTCCCTTGACTTTATTAGTAAATTGAAAAATTGCTTAAGAGGTCCATGATTTTTGTTTTGTCTCAAACAAATAATTAATAAATAAAATTATCAAATATAAATATATTTTTTATCAGACTCTAAGGGAAAAACTTTAGCTTCCCTTGGGAAATGAATGTTTATGGTTTAGACCCAAAAAAAAAAAAAGACTAGACACCTGCAAGTTACAAAATTGTTTTTAAATTAAGATGGCAATTTTCCCAAGACAAAAAAAATTATAAAAAAAAACTTTGTGGAGATGGTAAACTTGTGTTTTGCTTGGTGGCCAAACGAAATTTGATTATGTTCGCGGTTACACTTCATTCGTCGTGATGTCTTTTTGCCACCATGGTGGTACCACGGGGCCACCTTGCCACCCCAAAAGTCAGGTAAAGGACACCCTTACCTCGCATAAATTCTTGTACATCCCCCTTGGCAGGCTGAAAACTGCCAGGAATTTATGCGATCAATTAAATTTCTCAAATGACCAAAAGAAACTTGTTCACAGTTTTTTAATTTTCATAAATTTTACTTAAAAATTGTTCTATTCTCCAAGCATAGTAAATTTGTTCTTATGGCTGCTTAATGTGTCAAGTTTTTCGGTGGCTATCTTTTCGAGAGTTACGATAATGATAATCAGATTTTATGATGATTAGAAATTAGAAATTTAGAGCCGGCGATGAGAATTTATTGTAAATTAGTGGGGGATTTTGTGGGGGTAGTATGGAGGGAAGCCTCCTTCAGGAGTATGAAGGACGAAAAGTAAATCAAATGTAAATCATCGACAGAATGGCAGGGAGCCGGACAAACTTTCGTCTTTGGCGGAGCCCAAAAATGATATACAACACATTTTGTGGGGGAAACCTTTACAACTAAATGCGGATAATCTGTAAGTTTTCGTTCTGCCCAAATTTATGGGAAACTGGGTGGAGTTTTCCTCTATATATGTATTGTTGTTGTTGTGTCTTTTCTTGGGTGCCTGACTCTATATAGTTTTTCCACTGATTTTCCCCCTCAGCTCACTCCTGCCACTATCTCTGCCAGCAAGTGAAAAACGCAGCCCAAACTAAAACATGCGCATTCAATGGGGAAAGCCCGTCCACCGACTTTCCTTACCCGACTTTCTCCAACCCACCCAACCCTTCTCTGGCCAATCTTCTGCTGCAATTCATTTCCAGCAGCCGGAGTGTGTGTGTGTGGGTGTGCAGAGATTTACCGTTTTATACTTGACATTTCCAAAAGTTTAAGTTTTAATTTATGACACCGCCGCCGCTTTCTATACGAGGCGACAAGCTAAATATGAGCGAATGGGTCGTCCTTAAACAGGATATCTAGCCATTGTCGCTGCTCCCGACTTCTGGCGTTCAAGGGATATGGCTCTTGGCTCATCTTTACAATTGCTTGAGGACCCTCACAATGCCGTTGTCCAGTTTTTTCTTTAGCGAATCCTTTTTTTCCAGGATAAAAATTAGTTTGAAAAGATGAAAAACCTGACAGTAAAAGAAAAATAAATGGTATGGCTAATATAAAGTTTTAACTTAATAAATGATCATTAGGAATAAGGATGTTTTTTATATAGAATTTGATATTCATATCAAAGCTTCAGGAGCTTCAGCTCCTGACAATGCGGAAAAGGTCTATAGGGACTCTGTCAATATGTATCAGATTTCGAAAAGAATCACCTTTTTAAGATCAGGGAATCCATCCACTGCGATCTGCATGAAAATATTAAAAACAACAATTTTTTCGATTCTTATATAAAGTTATGTTGTTACCTTTTCGAAAATTTTTGAAAACAAGGAAAGATTTTACTTTTCCAGATTTTTATGGAAAATTCTAGTACTCGAAGATCAGGAACGTAAAACATCGGGAAGGAAGGTATTGATCGAATTATTAATAATGAAGGTATGTTAATTTTCCTAAAATTTTTCCTACACAATTTTTTTGTAAAAATTGCCCGTTGGTAAGCGTGTAATTTGCATTCGCAAGTCCAGAATGAACTAATAAACACACCGGAACCCGAGTCAACAAATTGTCGGCTTCTGCGCCACCCCTGCCCCTTGGTGGTCAGGGGTTCAAAGGTGAAGTGACGCTGGATGGTGGGGATGTGGTGGAGGTCGAGGCTATCCGCTGGCATACGGTTAATAGGCGCAACCGCGAGTTCTTGGCTCAAATTGAAAGTTATTTAAGGCAAAAGGTCGGAGACGAGAGCCACTGGGGCCAGAATGGCAGGACGGAAGGATGGCAGGACTTGGTCTGTGGGGCTGTTGGCGGAAATTGTTACACGATGCCACAGGGCCGGGAAAATGGTAACCACAACAGGCAGCACAGTTATTGCCGCAACCGCTCGTTGTTGTTATGGTGCCCATATTCTTTTTTTTCTCCATCCTACAAATAAGATTCGAAAAGTTTATGCCGTTGGCTGTCACGAAGCGGTGGAAGATGAAGCCGAACGGGGAGTACCCTCGACGACCTGCGTGTGATTCGCCAAGAGGGTAACCTTCTCGTCCCCACCTCCAGCTGCACCCCCGTCCTCGACGTCCTGTGAATATTTAACAAGCGGCAGGAAAAGGAAACCAAAATAGCGCAAGTGTTGCTCAGTTTAATCTATTTCCTGCCTGGACCAGGACTCCAGCCCGATCCCAAGCAATCTTTAAATACACAAATTTACGGTCAAAACTTGGCTTAATTCCGACGAGACAAAAAATTTCCGTTCGCCTTCTCAGCCTCAAGTAAATGTATTTTAATATATATTTTTTCTTGGATTTTTAGGGCAGTGGAAGTTTATTTTGCGTTGGTATTAAGTGATTTCATAAAAATGCTGGGTTGATAAACTTGGAGAAACAACAAGAAAAATAAAATTGTTGGGGGCTATATTTTAAATATTATATTATTAGAAAAATCTTTTTCAGATTCAAATGGAAATCATCCAGACGATCACAATCCTTAGCCATTGTTACCGCAAATCACATCGTCTATAATCGGCCCCAATTTCGAGGGAAACACATCCAGAAACTATTTTATTTGTTTTGTGAATTTTGCGAATGAATGCGCATTTCTGGCGGATGAGAGGAATCCCAAACTCCAGGCCCCCAAAAAAAGAAGACAAACGCCAAGTGCAAAGCAGCAGCAACAGCACGAACCGAAGATGAAGTTTATTTTATGGTCCTGGCGCTCCAGCCAAGAAGGATATGGGAGTCCTTTTGCCAGCCAACCAGCCAGACATTGCATCAGCCAAAGGAGAATGCTGGTGGTGGAGTCAGTTCCACACGTGTGTGTAATCAAATAATTTACCAAAAAT